GCCCTTCAGGTTGTCTGGGGCTGAGGATGGAGCAAGAGGGAGGGCATTGGAGCAGAGACTGCCAAGCAGCACTGTGGGTTAACTGTTTCTGGGCCTGCATCTGTACCCAGCACTGCAGGCTCAGCAAGGACCTGGATGGGATTGAACAAGTCCACGGCACAGGTGGGGAACCTGAGTCTCAGCAGGCCAGGTAACTCATCTGAGTGATAGGAACTCTCACTTTGGACTTCTGAGCACTCTGGACATCTATGGAGTGAGCCCTGGTGTGGAGAGTGGGCCAGCAGGGTACTGAAGGCCAGGTGTGGTGTTGGAGAGGAACTGCACAGTGCAGAGTGCACGTGGCTGAGAGGCATGAAAGGCACATGGGTGATGGTGAGAACCAGCTTCAGGAGAGCTCATGCTGCATGCCTCTGTGTTTATATTTCACTCAACTTTATTTTTCTGTGAACTTCTGGTTCCCCCAGCTCTCTGTTGTCAGAGTGAGGTGTTTAAAGTGCATCTACTTCAAAGTACATGGACCAGAGTGCTAGAGCTTCAGGAAAAGCTCTGTAATTTCTGAAGGATCTGTACAAATTTGGAACACGTTTCTGATAATGTAAGTGCTTTGTGTGTAGCAGCAAAAGGTAGCATGCTAATTTAAAAAAAAGATTTTGTTTATTTATTTTTAGAGAGAGGGAAAGGAAGGGAGAAAGAGGGAGAGAAGCATCAATATGTGGTTGCTTCTCATGCGCCCCCTACTGGGGACCTGGCTCAAACCCAGATATGTGTCCTGACTGGGAACTGAACCAGTGACCCTTTGGTTCACAGGCTGGCACTCAATCCACTGAGCCACACCATCCAGGACAGCATGCTGCTTTTCTAGCACAGGAATGGAGCTGGCTGTGTGTGATTTCCTGTTCACTGCAGGTAGCTAAGTGACCCTGTCACCAGCTACTCAGGACCTCAAGAAGAATGGTGGGAAGGAGGACCAAGGCAGTGCTGGGGCAGCTGCCACTGCAACCTGGAGGGCAGTGCAGAGTGGAACCCCCACTCTCCCCACACCCAGGTTGGTGCCTGGCACATGGCAATGGCTCAGTAAAGATGTGCTGTGCTGGGTGAAGGAGGGAAGGAAGACTGGACTGCCAGTTACTGAGCAGTTATGGGCTATGTCTGCAGGTGCTACCTCACTCTACCTTCTCAACAACCCTGCAGGTAGCTATTGCTGGCCCATCTTACAGGTGATAAAGCCCAGGTTCAGAGAGGACTGTGATGTGGGCCACATAGCCAGGGACCATTGGAGCCAGGACTGCAGCCTCATCTGCCTGTCCATGGAGCACACACATTGGACTGACTGCTGCCCAGGCTGACGTGACCTCAGTAACACTGACTCATCCTTGAGTGTGAACAGACCCTTGTGACTGGTTGTTGCTTGTTCTCAAGCCCTAACACTGTCTTTCTAGGCTCAGGTGTGTGGAAGCTGGAGTGGGGAAAGGCCTGGGATTATTGAAAAAACAAACAAACAAACAAACAAACAAACAAACCCCAAAAATAGATTCTTGAATGGCCATTCATGCCTGTATGGTACCATCAGGAGCTGTGGGGACAGGAGGAAACATGGGTCCAATCTTGTGTGATCCTTAGTAGGCTACTGGCTTTCTCTGTGCTTCAGTTTCCTTATCTGGAACCAATAGTCTCCCCTCACAAGGACCTGGTACAAAGAGGGCTCCCCCTGCCCCCCACGGCTAAAAATTATTGTAAAGCTCAGTGACACCTTGTCAGCTCAGTGACATCTTGTACAAGCCCACAAATTGGCTTATGTTTGCTGTCACCACTGAGAGTCTTTTGGGTTTCTGGGAAAGGTTAGAGAAGGGGTACAGAATAGGGTGTTCTCCCTCAGCTCTGGGGTTTGGCCTCCAGGCAGCTGGGTGTGCCCCTGGCAGTTTGTGCATTGTCCAGCTGGAGCAGGTGCCGGCATCTCCAAGGGGCATAACTGGGAAGACTTTGTGCTGCCTGCTCTTGGCTGAAACGTATGAAGGTAGACATGGAATGTCCATATGTTCCATTTGCCCTCTTTCAGGGAAGCAGGCTGGGTGGGGGTGGAGAGACTCTGGAAGTCTCCCAGAGTTGCTGAAAACAACAACTTTCTCTGTTCAGCACTTAGCCTGCTGGGCTCTGTGCTCCACACACTCTATGCCATGCATTTCTCACTTTACCCTACGAGGCAGTTACTGTTACTCTGGTGTACCTCTTTGCAACTGTGGAAATGAGGGCCAGAGAAGCTGGTACCTTTTTCCAGGTCCCACAGCAGGTGGCTGGGGCTATTAGGATTTGAACTGTAGGGCTGAGCCCAGAGCCTCCCCGACAGGAGGCAGCTGGCATTATCCCTGACAGTGCTGTGTTTCAGTTGTTGGGCACATCTGTCCATCCCTATGTCTTTGGCCAGTGGGTTGGGGTGTTGTCTGTTCCTGAGCAGGGTGGCATGGGGAAGCAGCCACAGGAGTGCCGTTAGGGTGCTACTGCCTGAGACTTGGGCAGGGGCAGTCTGTAGGCACAAGGTTAGGTGGTTACCCCCCTGCCTCTTCAGGGCTTGCATGAGGTATGTAGTGACAGACAGCGACATCCTTGACCTGAGATGCCCAGAGACCCATCCAGGGAACTAGACGCACACCAGTTAAAGGCCAGCCCTCCTGTTAGAAGGGTGTGGTGACTCCATGAAGACACAGGTCGTCAGCCCTGTGGTAGAGACGGGGTCTCTGCAGGGGCAGACAGAACACGTGTATATTGTGTGCTTAGGGCCCAGAAGTCTGGGTTAAGGAGCAATCCAAAAGCTTGTGGCTAGACTTGAATCCTTATTTCAGCTTCATTTTTTGGGTCCTTTGAGTGGGGAATTGCAGGCCCACAGTCACAAGATTTCCTGATGATTTCTGACTTCTCCAAGACCTTCAAGGTCTTGTTTGTAGCCAGGCTTTGGGACTTCCTCCCTGCCACCTTGGGTATGTGCTTTGGGAGGAAAAGGCCAGGTTCACAGTGTTCTCAGGGCAGGAAACCACGTCCATGCTGACAAGTCCAGCTGTGCTCTAGGCAGTGGCTCAGGCGGTCAGTCCTCTGCCCTGTCATTCTGTGGGGACCAGCAGAGAAGCTGAGGAGGACGGGGTGGGAGCAGGGTGGGCAGCTGTTCACTGTGGCAGTTTCCCTTTCATCTTGGGTTCTGCCCAACTCCTTCTGCCACCATCCTTCTTCCTTGTCCCGGCAGCCTAAATATGGATGGACTGAGCCAGTTGAAGTCCAGTATATCCCGCAAGTCTTACTGAAGAGCGCTCCTACCCTGCCCCTGTCATATGGGTTCCCTAAGTGGAGCAGAGAGGAAGTCCTGCCTGAAAGCCCCATCCCAGCCTCTGGTCTCTGTCCATGTGGCAGCAACCCTTTATGAGATCTGCTGTCCACATCCTATGCGTAGATGCCTAGGAGGCAGAGCCCACTCCCACATCCTAGGTCCCTCTTCCTGGGGGTACACTCACTCAAGAATTCTCCTCATGACCCTACGAAGAGAGGGGTGAGGTTCAATATCCTGGGAGCTAGAACAGGCTGGAAAGATATTCTCAAACATGACACTGTTCAACCCACTGAGCTGGACCATTTTTCTTTGTCTAGTTTTCCATGCAGCACCACCAATCCATCAGAGTTGACTCTTAGACAAAGTCTATTTGCTACACTTGTAGGAGAAGGTATGGCCACCAGGGCACTGGAAGTTTGTAGAGGCCATCAAGTCCAGCACGACTCCTCCTGGCCATGCCTCAGGACCCCTGGGCTGGCATCAGCACAGGCATGGCTCAGCATGGTCACTTACCCTGTAGTTCAGCTTGGATTGTACTTCTCCTGGAAGGAAGCCCCTCACTTCCAGCAGGGATAGCAGCTACCCACCATGGATGAGGAGGTTTGCTCTCCACCTTGCCTCTGTCCCAAAGACTCACTTTTACCTTCTCCATGGGAGGGTGATTCCATGTTTTTTTTTGGAGGGCTGATGATTTGACACTAACTCGTGGTACAGGGGGAAAAGCTGTTGAAGTCTGACTGACCTGAGTGCAAATCTGGATTATGTCATCTGCTGTGCGAGTTTGGGCAAATTATTTAACCTCTCGGAGCCTAAGGTCTCATCTGGAAGGCAAGGTTACCTTGGAGATTAAATGAGGTTATGAATGCAGAGGATCTCATCTGTACCTGTTTTATACCTGAGACACCCTCTGGTTCCTTGAGCAGGGGTGAGAGGAGGCTCAAGAGGGCGCCGAGGTGGCCATTGTCACCCAAGAGATGGCCTAGTGCGATAAGGACTGAGCAGCAGGGGATCTGAGTCAGTGACATTGACAACCACAGCACTGTCCTTTGTGGAGGCTTACTGTGTTCCAGGTGCCCAGCCAAGTACTTCCGTGTGTCTCTTATCTAACCAACATCACTGAAGCCACAATTATGGTTTTTCCACAGCTGGGAGTCTGCATGCAGAGAGGGAGGGGCAGCCCAGGCTGCACAACCCTGACTGCTCTGACCAGTGTGTGCCTGGCTGTTGCCCGCCTGTGTCTGACCCTCTAGGAACTGCACTGAGATGGCAGGGTGTGACAGAAAGATGGGTTTCAGAGGCAGGGAGCTCCGCTTCCACCACTGTGGCTTTTGGGAAAGTCACTAACTTTTTCCATCTGTGAAATGGAGATGCCACCTTAGTCTTGCAAAATTGTCTTCCATGAGTGCATGCTGTGACCCCTGGTGTGCACTGCAACTGAGCATTTCCAAGCCCACAGAGCTATGGGTATGTGTGGGTGGCCATGAAGGGTGACCCAAGCCAGTGCTAGCAGCTTGGCCCTGACCACATGTCTCTGAGTCGCCACAGTGCCAGGAACATCATTGGGTGAGGAAAGAGATTTTCCTTGACAAAACAACTTTATTTTTTTGAAGGAGGGGGCATGCCTATTGAGTGCACCCTCCAGGCCTGATGGTCTTTGCTCATCCCCAGTCCTGACTGTCCCATTCATTCTCCCCTCAGCAACATGTCTGTTGCCTTAGCCAACGCAGTATGCCAGCGCAGCCAGGTATGTTTCACTCCTGCCAAGAGGATTGTCAGCAGCAATGGAAAGCTGTAACATGAGCACTGCTTTGTGTGTGCCCAGTGCTTCTGGCCCTTCCCCGAGGGGCTCTTTTATGAGGTGAGGATGCTCCCAGGACCTCAGTCAGCTGACTTCTCAGAGCCCCAGACCCTGACCCAGCTCCAAGTATGGGCTGTGCGCTGTGCCTGGCTGGGGTCCTGACCGATGACAGATGGGGCAGTCATGCCAGGCCTTGAGTCGAGCTGTGCTTCTCCCAGCACAGAAACTTCCTTGTCACACCTTGTGGGTCCGTTCCTCACCTGTGAGATGTGAACAGTGCTTCCCTGGTGGCTGTGGGTGCTGAAGGAGAGTCACCTTTCCTCCAACGTCCTCTGGACAGACCCTGGGAGGCCCTGCCCTATACACTTACCCTTCCTTGGGATCAGACAGTACACTGAGTAACTTAATGTCTATCAGATGGTGCTAAGTGCTGTAGTTGTAAGGTATTTTGAGTAGGGAGGGAGGGTGGATGGTCAGGAAGAATAATGTTTGAGCAGTCCTGAAGGAGTGCGGGAAGCCATGTACACAGCTGCACAAAGAGCACTTAGCAGGACACAGCAAGTGGTAAGGGCCTGAGGTCGGAGAGTGCAAGGTGTGTGAAGAGCAGTGGGAGGTCAGTGGGAGGGAAGCAAAGGAAAGGGAGTGGTGGGGATGAGGACAGGAAGGCAGATTTTGGTTTTTGTAGGATCTTAGGATTTTACCATGGGAGGGGCAGGAACCGTTGCAGGTATGGAGCAAAGGAGTCTGCCTGACTTTGGGAAAGGACCACTCTGGTTGCTATGCTGAGGAGACACTGTAAGGGGTGCAGGGACAGTAGCTAGGGGTACAGGTTGGATCAGAAGCTGGCTTGTTGTAATAATCAAAGTGAAAGTGAAGGTGCCTACAGTGGGCACACTCAATGATCTTGCAAGATAGTTGTGAGACACAGCATTATTAAAAATTAAATTATGTGAAGTGTACAATGAGATAAAGTTTTATTAAAAACAAAGATAACAAAACTCAAAACCCACTACTTCCTAATTATTTTGTTACATTTTACTATCATCTGCGCCTTTGAAGTTATTTCTACACACACGTGTGGTGGTCATGCTGTGCCATGGTGGTGTAGCACTTCACATCTGTTCTCAGCTCTGTGCCCATGCCATGGCCATGGTGGGAAGAGGTGCACCACAGAAACTGGCAAACACTGCAGATCAGTACCTGCCCTCCAACCATAGCTGGTCCTTAAACAGTTAGCATCATACTTCTGCTGGTTGTGGTGGGGTGGTGACCAGTGGAAGATGCTGGATAGATTTCAAAGGCTGGTGGATGGCAGAGTAAGAGCAGCTATTCTTCCTGGGGCCTCCTGGGAAATGTTGACCAACTGTACAGGCAGAGGGAGGGGTGGGCAAACCTCTGGAAATGGTGGCCATGTGCCTGGAACAAAGCCTGACACACAATAGGTGCTCAGGAAATATTGCTTGCTGAATGAATTTGTACCCCTTCTGCCCCTACAAGTTACTGGATAAGGCTGTACTCAGCTGCAGCCTAATAAGATGCTCATTTTAGAGAACGGAAGGACTAAGTAAAATTGTCAAGGGAGAGATGAGAAAACAGAGGCCGGCTTTGGCTACTGTTGGGGCCAGTGCAAGGACCCTCATTGCCCAGACAGATGGTGTCCACACTGGCACCTGCTAACCTCAGGACTTGGGGCTCTCCCTCAGGGAACACCCTTCCCATGTCCTCTTTCTGTTTGCTTTTCCTGAATCTTTTGTGGCCTCTGGGGAAATGGACTTCTCACACAGAGAAGACTCAAGGAATGGGGAAAAGTGACACATACAATTCCAGACTGACCCCAGCCCCCTAGCCTATGCTCCCACCCACAGCCCTCAGCAGGCTCCTCAGACTGACAGGGCCACTATCTTCAGCAAACAGCATGGCTTTTCAGGACTGGCTTTGCTGAACTCCTACTTTAGTAAGGCCTCTCACTGTGCACTGCCCTTTGTCGAGTAGGCCAGCCATTCCCTCTGACTCTAGGTTTGGTACCTGCTGCTCCCTGCCTCTGCCATGCCCTCCTCTCAGTACCCTATGCCTGCAGTCTTTCAACTGTTTATCACTTCCTTTAGGAAGCCTTCTCTGGAGGGAGGGTTGGGTGCTTCCTCCACTCCCTGCAAGGTAACAGTTGTATGAAGTGGGATGCTTGTTTAGCCTAAGGGCAGGTCCTGATCTGACAAAGACCGACCGGTGCAGCTTAGAGAATGATGGCTGGTTGGCTTATCCTTTCTCTGCTGGCCCCATCTGCAGTTTGAAGGCCGGAAGTACTGTGACCATAACTTCCAAATGCTGTTTGCTCTGTGCTGCTGATCATGTGGTAAGGGCTGGGGACAGTACATACCTCTGCGTGGCTTGGGAAATTGATGGGCAGGATCATGGATAGCTCTTCCCTGGATGCCACGTCTCTCTGAGCACTGGCCTTCAGGCCCCTATAGACATTATCTTCCCAAGCTCTGGGAGGAGTCCCTGGACCAGATGGAGCACCAGTGTGGACAGGGCTTGGGGTAGGGCTGAGGAGGGGGAGGATGCACACTCTGCCCTGGCGAGCAGGGACCTCTCTCTTTTAGGCAGATTCATCATTGGCTGTGTCATCAAGGCCATGAACAGCAACTGGCACCTGGGTGCTTCTGCTGTGAGCTGTGTGATGTGGAGCTGGCTGACCCGGGCTTCGTGAAGAATGCAGGCAGGTGAGATGGGCCTGCCCAGGTGAGATGGGCAGGAAAGAGGGTCCCTCATCACAGGAACCATGCACTGAGCACCAGGCTCGTTCCAGGTACTGTGACCTGTGCCAGCGTGGCTGTCTGGCCTACCATGTCCCTGCCAGGTGGGTAGGAGGGCCCAGTTTACAGGTGAGAACTGAGGCTGGATAGAGTGAGGGGTAAAGAATCTGGGCCCACCTCAGACTTGGGGATGTTCCCAGGAGCAGGCTGATTGCATACAGCAAGGAGGAAGGTAGCCAGAGTAAGAGCCATTAGACTCAGTGCTTCCAGTCTAATGAGCTTTGAGTCAGGTTACTACCTCCTGGGCACCTCACACTGCTGACACTAGCCATCTGCTTCCCACCTGCACGCATGGCTGAATGCATCTGGAGAGAAAGCTCAGTCAGGGGTTCCAAATTCATTCTTAAATTCAAAGCCATCGATCTCATTGATGCTCAGTGTTTAAGCTCCATCCTCTGGGAAGAGTTGCTACTTACACTTCTCCCCTCCTCTTACCACAGTCTCCACTCCCCACTCCTGCCCCCTGCCCCAGGTTGATGACATCCCCTCCTACCTGCCTGAGGGGACAGCCTCTTGGGTCACCCTTGCTGCCCAGCATCTGTGCTGCCCACAGCCTGCTTGTGTCTCTGCACTTCCCAAAGCACTGCTCACCCTGCACCCTTTTGAGAGGGCTCAAGGCTTCAGTAGCTCTTTCTCCCTTTCTAAAGGATCAGGCTGGGTAGCTTCCATGGGCCAAAATGCCCTCTGAGTTCCTCCCACATGATTCTCGATTCTCTGCAGAACTCCCCAGCACACGTGCTGGCTCCTCTCATCTGGTCCCCACTGCCTAGTCAGGGTCCCTGTGGCCTCCACATTGCCAGACCCAGAGGTCACTGCCAGCCTCTCAGTGGCCTTCACTATAGTCACCCTCTTTCTTGCTGAAATGCTTCCTCTCTGGGAGCCCAGGCCCCTGTGTTCTCTTGCCTGTCTCCTCCTCTGGCTTACCTTTCTCCATGTCTCCACGCTGGGTTCTTTTGGGCTTTGCACTTGGCCCTCATGTCCACCCGCCCTCCCAGAGCCCTAAACAGTGTGTATGTGTTGAATAATTCAGATGTACACCTCCACCCCAGACCTCTCTGGTGGGACACTCAGCTGCCCTCATGACATCTCCACTGGTGTCTGTCCAGCAGGCATCCCAAACACAGTGGGTCCTAAATGACTCTGAGCTTCTCCTTCACTGACCATCAAGTCTCAGGGAAGAGCTGCGCCTACTTTGTGATCAACACCCTAGCTGTCCGCTGATTCTCCCACTCTCCCACCTGGGCACTTGTCACCACGTCTATTCTCTGACATAGCACCCCTCACTCCTTCCTGACGCTGCTGTAGTAACCCCGACTCTTGCTTGCCCCATGCTGCCTTGTGTCCATCTGGGTGTCTGCAGGGTACTCTACTGGGTACTCAGTGGTAGCTTCAGTTCAATTGAGAGGCTGTGGTGGGCAGGCAGCTTCTTGGGGTTCCTGTTTTGATCACTGGGAAGGTCTACTTGCCAGGTGTATGCCTGTGCAAGTCCTATCCCTTTCCTGAGCCACAGTTCACACTGTGTCCCTAGCCTCACTGCCTTGTTGGGAAAATCTGGAAGAGGCTAAAAATGCTCAGGAAGTTTAAGACAAGGTACAAAAGTAAAGTTTTGCTGTAATGAATGGGAGCAGGGCCCTTGCTTGGACCCTCCAGCCTGGCTGGCCCTCTGAAGACCACAGTGCAGAACCCTGCGGTCTGTGTGGGGTAGGCTTACTGTGGGGTGTAAGAGCCACAGTCAAGAGCATGTGTTGCCTGTTTCTCCTCTCTTAGCCTCTGCTTTGCCATTGTTGGATTGAAGGGAGAAGTTTGGGGAAGTGTATTGTTAACCAACCGCAATAACCTTCAGAATCTAAAGTACAGTTATGCTTTTTAAAAAAGATTTTACTTATCTTCAGAGAGAGGGGAAAGGAAGGAGAAAGAGACAGAGAGAGAAACATCAATGTGCGGTTGCCTCTCTTGCGCCCTGTGCTGGGACCTGGTCTGCAACCCAGGCATGTGCCCTGACTGGGAATTGAACCAGTGACCCTTTGGTTCACAGCCCCATGCTCAATCCACTGAGCCACACTAGCCAGGGCTACAGTTATGTTTATGATCACTATAATCAAGTACATACAAAAAAGGACTTGTTAAGGCAATACATACCATATTGTGAAATGAAATAGCTCACAGCTTGGCCAGTCCAGGCTGGTAGAGGTCTCTTGGGAGGGAGTAGGGTGAAGGACACCCCTTCTCGGTGTGGGTTACTGGGAGGCAGATTCACATACCAGGACCCAGTTCCCCGCTCAAGGTGTTCTCAGGCAGTGACAGAGCCTGGTTGTCCACTCATGCTGTATGTGTGACCAGGACTGAGCACCTGCTGAGAAGCTCTGGGGATTGTCAGGCCACTGGCAGGTCTCAATGTGGGTTTACAGCAGAAGGGATCAAGAAGTGATGTGCCTCCCGGACCATGGTTGCTGGATGTCACCTGGTGACCAGCCTGAAATGTACTTACAGTGTTCAGCTATAATTCATCATTTGCGACCCCTAAACTCAGGGGTCATCTGGCAAAGGCACCACAAAGCGAACTCAAAGCACCTTGCACGTCACAGGAAATATTTGGACATGCCTCCTACCCCTCACAGGATTCCTGCATCTCCTCTTCTCATGGGACAATTGCAGCCACCTTCCGGGTTCTTTCCTCAGAATTTTGTTGCTGCATGTTTCCCTAGTGGAAAGGAAGGCTGAGCAGCAGTCAGGAAATAAAAACACTCATTGCTCAGGAGTTATTCCTCTGGCCTCCTTGCCCCTCTTACTACAGGGCAAAGTCACTGATTACCTAATAGCTATAAGCAAGCTGGGCCAACACAGCCTGCAGAGGGTGCAGCTGATTCAGACAGTTCTCCCTCTTTAGGGATTTGTGTATCAGATCAGACAGAGCTGGATGCTGGGTAATGAATTCTGACCTTGGAAGGAGTGGCAGTAATTCACTGAGATTTCAGTCTCTTCTCAGAGTGTGGCTGGAGAGAAAGGGGCACTCTTTGTGAGTCTGGGAGAAGCCTCAAAGCCCTAAGGGAGTTGTCCTGAGACAGTCTGCAGAAGGTTCAGGTGGTGGCTGGAACTCACAGCTCTGACCGGGCGCTCAGGGAGCTCTCATTGGTTTTCCCTTCAAAGCTGGGAGGTGGGCCTGAGAGCCTTTTGCCACTGAGCAGGTTGCACAGGGTGTTTCGAAACTTCTCAGCCACAAAAAAGTATATGATGGGATCAAGTACCCCATTGAGGCTGGTGAGGCAGGAAGTGATCCGGTTCCCCAGGGCCAGGGCATGCTGGGCAGTGCATGAGGCACCACTGCTGTGGAAGTGTAGCACGTAGACAAAGCGATGGACGTGGTAAGGCACGAAGCAGACCAGGAAGATGGTCAGCACCATGGCAATCATGCGGACTGCCTTGTTCCTAAGGCGCTTCTCTACACGGGGACCCTGCTGCAGGCTGCGGATGATCAGCAGGTAGCAGGTAACAGTGGTGACAAATGGGAAGGTGAAAGCCACAGCTAAGGACATGAGCGCATGGTGTGAGGCCTTCTCCCGGTAAAGCTGCAGGCAGATGACTGTGTGGTTGGTCTGCACGGTTTGTGGGCTCACCAACAGTGGGGCCATGGCCATGGCCACCACCACCCAGAGGAAGGCGCAGGCCAGGTGTGCATAGAGAGGCCTACGGAGTTTGAGGGACTTGACAGGGTGCACAATGGCCAGGAAGCGGTCAGCACTGATGCAGGTGAGGAAGTAGATGCTGGCATACATGTTGAGGTAGAAGAGGAAGCCGGTAAGGCGGCATGGGATTTCCCCAAATGGCCAGTGGTTCCCCGAGAAGTGGTAGACAAAGCGCATGGGCAGGACCAGCACACAGGACAGGTCTGCCATAGCCAGGTGCATCAGGAATACGTTGGCAGGGGTGCCTGATCTGCGGTCCTGGATGAAAAGCCACAGGGCCAGGGCATTGCCGACAAAAGCCAGGAGAAAACTCAGGAGGTAGAAAGAGGCAAAGAAGACATTCTGCAGCCACGTCTCCTGGACACACTGGTCTGTAGTGCCCAGGGAAGAGTTGGCCATCAGACCTGGAGAGGCTGCTTCAAGGCCATTCATACTTCGACTGGAGGCAGAGCCTAGGGATGAGCCTGGAAGGGAATTGGACAGATCCCAGTCGAGCACTACCCTCCATGGGAGCCCCCAAAAGAACATTGGGATGCCTCCAGAACCTGCCAGTCCCTAACCACGAGAGCCATGCTGTCTCATGCTCGGCATTTCCTGGGGGGCAATGGGAACCTCTCCTGAGTCATTCTGTGTCACAGGCTTTCTGAACCTCACCAAACCCCACAAACAGACCCAGGGCTTGGAGCTTGCCAGGCTGTTGCTGGGCTAACTTCTCTGGGAGGCTGTGCTCTGTTGAGTTTTCCAAAGCCTTTGCCTGACCGATATCCCAGAGTTCATTGTCTCAGACCCCGGGCAACAGAGTTAACACCACGAGGAAAGTAGAAAGTGAACCCTGTCTGTCTGAGGCTTTGGGATTGGGAGAGTGGAGGGAGGGTCCCATGTTTTCTGTCCTGGTCTCAGCGGTGCTATCTGAGTGGCAGGGTGGCACGTGGGATACCTGAGCCCCACCCTTAATGGGCAAGGGGATGGGTTACTTAGTCCCAAGAGACTAGCGTGTGGGCCCCTGCCAGCTCCTCTGTAGTTCTGGCCTTGCCAGGTGAATTCTGTTCACCCCAAGTCCCAGGACCCTCCCTAACTCACCTGCTTGTCTGGGCATCAAGGCACTTCCCACAGTGGCCTTGACCAGTGTAGCTGCTTTTGCCTTCCCCTCTGCCAGCCCTGACCACAGCTCCCCAGCACCTGCCACAGAGGAGGCCTCACTAGAAATGCAGATGTGGGCTGTGTCCCAGGTCAGAGGCCTGCTCTGTCTGCTGGCACCCAAAGGCCATACAGGTGCAGATCCCAAGGTCTCTCGAGCTTTCTCAGCTCAGCCCCAAAACTCTGTTTTGGATGCCCAAATGGGTAGAGAAAGCCTTGCACTCAGGCCTCAGGCCAGCAGGATTTGTTTTACTACTCGGAGTAGTTTAACAACCTGGAACAGATTCTTTCCTACGAGAGATAAAGCCATTTCACCCAAAGGAGAAGACTGGCCAGGGCTTTCTAGATCTGCGCCCCAGAAGGACCAGGGCCTGGAGGACACCTGTCTGCCTGGCTTCATTTGCCTGCTTTAGCCACACCAGAGGGGCCAGCTAGAGCCCTGCTGTCCTTGGCAACAACCATTTTACATTGGGTGAACCCTGGTTCTGGTGGATGTCCTCCCCAACAGATAGGGTAACATACTCCTGTTTTGATTTTTGGTCTACTCAAGAGATCCAAAAAAGAAGAGCGTAGGACTCCTTCACCAGGCCTGGGAGTGGGAGGTGTGGTTAGGAGAGGGCAGGATGCAGGCAACCCTTTAAGCAGGGATCAGGGAGGCCACCAGCCCTGCTTCTTCTGCCCTGCTGCTCCTGCCCTGGGGCTGCTCCTGCCCTGGGGCTGCTCCTGCCCTGCTGCTCCTGCCCTGGGGCTGCTCCTGCCCTGGGGTCACTTAAAGGCTTCAGCCTGGTGAACTCTCACCTGCAGTGCAGCTTTGGGGGCTTCTGGCCTCTGTGTTGGGACTGATGAAGGGTGGAGGAAGGGCTGTTCACAGGAGAAAAGAAGCATTCCAGCAGTGGAGGAGGAGCCCAGGCTACAGCCAGAACAGGGAGTCAGGGGCCCCACAAGTAAGGTGTGACTATACAAGTCACATAGTCTATTGTGGCCTTAGGTGGGCATGCCAGCACCTGGCTTTCTGCTTTCTAACCAATACCCTTGACCTCATACCCCTGCTGAAGGCTGCATGCATGCACGGTCTCAAAATGCTTTTAAAATGGTTGATTTTCAAAATGCTTTCATGCTTGTTTTTGGTTTGTTGAGGTTTCTCTATCCCTTACCCATTTTAGGAGTTTTCATACTGATTTTGGCAGTGTCTGAAATGGACCCCTTTCATTCTCTGTGCAGGCCATAGAAACATGAGCCTGGCCTGCATGCACCCCTCTGTGCTGGGTTCCTCTGCTTAGGGAAGGGAGGCTGAGGGTGCGTGAAGTGCAGCCTGGACAGTGCCAGCCGGGGTTGGCATGGCTGTGGGTAAGGGGAGCAACGGAGGGCATATGTGGCCATAGTAGGAGACTTCAGTGGCAGTCCTGTGGTAAGAAGGCAGCCTGGCACCTCTCCCTCTTGGCTCCTCATCTGACTTTGCCTGTGCTCCACAACCTAGTGGTGAGGAGCCTGGGTGCCAGCTCATTGTATTGTGGGTCTGAAGCAAGGCACTGTCTGTAAGCCCAGCAGGTTAGACGAGGACACTGCCTTATGGGACTGCTGTGATTCAGATTGGGGTGTCTTCCAGACATAGGTTCTACCATGACCTCAGAGAGTATCTCAGGGACAGGCACAACCCACCCTTGCCCTGCTTAAAGTTCCTTCTGCTTAGCCCCTGAACACCCTCCCCTCCCCGACCCGACACTGGCCCTTACCTCTTGTAGCTGGGTGCAGGTGAAGGGGCAAGAAGACTGAGGTGTGGCGTGGTCTCCGTGTGGCTGTGGTGGAAGGCCGGCTATTTAAGGAGGGGAGGGGAGGCAGCAGCCCCTCCGGCTCTGAAAGACCACTTCATTCCCAAGGGGTCCCTTGTGTGGTGGGCACTCCTATGGCTGCCTCGGCTGCCCATGTGCTGTGAATATTCCAGTGTGTCCCAGACTGGGAGTCCCCTCACCCCCAACTTGGCCACTGAGCATCAAAGAGGCTGAGTGTATGTCTTTGAAGCTTCAGAGTTGATGCGGGCTGGGTGGGGGGACTGGCTGGGGCTGACAGACACAACAAGACATTTCAGAAGGGGACAATTTCCTACAATTGGGAGTTACTTGGAGGGGCTGGCTGCCATGGCAATGGGCTCGGGCTCCCAAGCCTGCATGGGAGACAGTGGAGGGGTCTTGTGAATGGGGAGGGTGAGAGGCTGAGGAATCTTGTCTGGTTGAATGAGAGGAGACCTTTTCAGGACTCTTGATGTAAGGTCCCTGTGTCCTGCCCTGTATAATTAGGCTCCATTTGGGTGTGTGGAACAAACCATGGCCTTTATCTTAAACAGGGCACAGCTGCAGGCTGTGTATAATGGGGCGCTGTCTGTGCCTGTTGGGACCACTCAGTCTGGAGGCCTGGCCCTCAGCGGTGTGGGCTCCTCCTCGGCATGGGAGGCCTATGAAGGGGCCACTGCTGCCCACTGGCCCCCAAGACTCATTTTGGGGGTGTCTGAGGCTGGGGTGTTTGGATGTTAGCAGTTGCTCCTCCTGAGACTGCTTCAGCAAAGGTTGTTTCTCTGTCTTTTCAAAAAGAATATCTCCAGTAACACAGGGAACAAAGTCACAAATTTTAATTTCAAAAGACTTAAATACTTAGTTAAAATATAAAATATGTATGTTGCTCTCCTTGAGAAGTAACTAACTGCCACATGTACTATCTCAAATTTGTTTGTCACCCAGTTGTGTGCAGTTGTGTTACTGCCCCTTTATAGAGCAGAAACTGAGGCTCAGAGAGGTGACATATGTGCCAGTTATAAATCACTAGAAATGGCAGAGCCAGAATTTGAACCCGGAAAAAATTCTGCAGCTTGCCTTTAGATCTGGTGTGGGGACCATGTATGTCAAAAACACACTACCCATTTGTGGTTCCTTCAAGAGAGCTGGGCTTCTCAATTCTGCCCTGACTGGGAACCAGTGGGGTGTGCCCAGGCTCGTCCCCTCCCTGCCATTCTTTGCGAGTGGCTGAGTGACTTACACTGTCTGCCCTGAACAGGGCACTTATGTATTGGGGTGATTGGTGACAGAGACTTTGAGGTCATTGACCATTTCAACAGAATTTTGGGTAGTTGTGCTAATTTCTATAGCTTTGAAACAAAAATTATTCCATATGAGTTGAATGTTATTCTTATGATAAAAACAGTCACCTGTAAATGCTGTGTCTGTGACAGACACACAAGCAAGCAATAGACATGGTGTGGCCTGCTGTGCCAGGGGGTCTGGGGTACAGGGTGTCTGGGTAAAAGTTGGGTGGGGAAAGCTCACTGGGATTCAAGGATCTGGGGACTGAAAGGGGCAAATCCTTAGTCACAGAGCCAGAGGGTATAGTCACAGGCCACACCTGTGGCCCATGGACAGGTAGAGAGTCAGGGTCACGGGCCAGGAGACCAGCTCTCAGTCTCAGGCTGGCCATGCTGTCACAGGGAAATGATGACCACCAACCCTTCCTTCCTCTGTTTCACAACCTTCATTTACTCATGATTCACGTGTTAACAGACTGATCCTGAGCTGCTGCCCTGTGTGGTGAATAGCTTAGCAGGTGGCTGCTAGACACTCACTTGGGGGCCTTGCTATTCACATTCACTGAGGAGATAAGACACAGTCAGGGCAAGCAGAGAGCAGTGTTATATAGCATGGAGTCCAGACCCAAATGAGGTGCAGGCCCTGTGGTCAAGGGCTGGACCCGGAGTTGGCTGCCCTGCCATCCAGGATCTGCTTACTGCTTCTGACCTGAGAGTAATCTTCAGTGGACTCCCTGAACTGCCTGTAAGGGGGCCAACCCTGGGATCAGGTGAGTGTTGGAGAGGCTCCTTGTGGATTGGGAATCTGGCAACAGGGTTGGGGGATGGGGCCTGGCTGCACAGGGCCACTTGCAGGTCAGGAATAGGTGGAAATGGGAGTGATGCACTGGGGTCTTTGCACATTGTTGCCTGGGGACCTGGAATCTAAATTCCTTTAATCTTTGAGGCTCACAAAAAAAGAAACCATGTTGATTTCTCTCAGTAGAGATCATAGCTGTTGCCCAGTGCAGGGAGTAGCATCAGAAATTACTCTGAGGTCTACACAAACAAGACTCTGTAATGCTATTTCCTGGGTTTGGATGCCTCCATCTGACACAGCCATGCTTGTCTTTGGAGCCAGAAAGAGCCGGTAAGTGTTTGGTCCCTCTTTGTCTGGCAGAGCCCAAAGGAAGGCTTGTGTGGGCCACCAAACCTGGTCTTCCTTGGCCACTCTGCTGGACATGGCAGGGTTGTAAGTCTGATTGTTACTATATGACTACCCATGTGTGAAAAATAAAAACTAATTTTGGGGGCAAGAGTCAGTGAAATGTCTATTCTATTCCACACAATGTCCTGGGCTCAGAAGAAATGGGAAGAAGAAAATGATCATGTTTGCTGTACCATCCTAAAACAGCAAATACCACCATTCTGGAGTATGCTCTCATAGTCTTCCTCCTTATGCAGAGGCTCCTTTTGGAGAATGTGTCTGAGGGGTTGCAGGACTGGCTAGCTTGCTCTGTGGACCCTGGCTGAGTCTCATGAGGCTCACAGATATTCATTAAAAGCAGGGTGGGTCAGGGATCCCTTCTCGGAGGTGGCCCAGGCTGTCTGAGAGGAAGGGGAGGAGTGGGCACTCTGCCTCAATACCCATCTGCCTCTTGTAGGCACCTGTGTTGGCCTTGCCACAATCTTGAGAAGGCCAAGGGCCTGGGACCCAAGTACATCTGTCAGCAGTGCTACCTGGTCATTAAGGAGCAGCCCCTCATGTTCAGGAATAACTGGTACCACCTGGACCACTTCAGCTGCACCCAGTGCAGGTACTTGTAACAGGAACTGGTGGAGAGTAGGGTGCGAGTCCCTCCCAGGGCAGTGATGGGGCAGGAGGATGGGGTGCTGGGAGGAAGCGGATGGGCCTGAAAGGCACTGCTGTGGGAAACCTCTTTCTCCAGAGCTCTGTTCTGGGAGGATGTGCATGATCCAGGTTTGTGACTCAGGGGTGAGCGAGGGCAGGGCCGCTGGAAGAAGCTGACAGGAAGGAATCAAAGGCATGGAGAACAAGAGTGAGCAGTAGGGGTTGCTGCTGGTGTTGGAGAGTGATGGAGAGAGAAGAGAGGCTGCAGAGCCATCCCTTCATGGCTGTCCCAGGCCGCAGTCTGGTGTGGTGGGGCCTAGAGAACAGATAAGCTTCTCAGAGGACTCAGACAGTACTTTCCTGGGCTGCCTTCTGCAAGTACTGTGCTGGAATTTGGTGTCCTGGCGCCTGAGGCAGCAGAAAGCCCCAAAGAGATCAAAGAGCCATTTGCCCAGGCGCTCTGCTGGGACAGAGCAGGGCCTCTCAGGAAGCTGCTCCCTGAGGCTGCAAGGGCTGCTCAGAGGAGCCCCTGCCAGTGTGGGTCCTGAAGAATCACAGTGATATCATCTGGGGGCTCTGTATTGTCTTTTAGGAAGGAGCTGACTAAAGCCTGAGAGCTGAAGCCTGAGAGCTGAAGGGGAGACTCTACTGCCTGCCATGCCATGACAAGAGGGGTGTCCCCATCTGTGGTGCCTGCCGTCAGCCCATTGAGGGTTGTGTGGTCAATGCATTGGGCAAGCAGTGGCATGTGGAGGTAAGTGAGGCTGGCCCAGACAGGAGGTGGGGGTGCCCCTGGCTCTTGGCCACAGTGGGAATCTGGCTGGGCAGCCCCTCCACACTCCCACCCCAAGGCTGGGTGGCTGGCTCCCAGGAGGCACTTTTCTCTTGGGTGCTTTCCCTCCTCACCCCTGACCTAGCACCAGCTCATCTGCGTGAACCAGGAGACCACTTTCCTTCCTCCCCTGCTGGCTTCCTAGAGGATTCCAAAGTCATGAGAAAGCTGTAGGGATTGTAGGATTGTGGTTGACAGAACTGGCTGTGTCTATAGTCCCATGTACACACAGAATCTGGGTATACCTGTTGGTGAGTGCTTCAGGTGGCCTGAGTTACATGGAACGCTCCCCTGCACTGTGGGCTCTAATAGTATTATGGACATTACTTGGAAAGGAGGCTTTCACTCCTCAGTACCCTGGCTGGCTCTGTGTTCCAGAAGATCTGCCTTGGGTAGTACCTTTGGGAAGTTCCTGTTGCTGGCCTGGCTCCTAGCCCTCTGTGGGTGGCTGAATCCTTGCTGAATAGGAAGATGCTACTCAGTGACTCTGGGGCTTGTAGGGGAGTGCCCCCAGAAGACAGACACACACAGCCTTCCAAGAAGGCACCATGCAAATAACAGAGCAGCCCCACCTGTGAGGGCCCAGCACACTCCAGGCACTTCACTAGTACCTGACAACTTGGGTCAAGGTTGCTGGTGATGCAACAGGCCCAGATACGACAGTGATGTGCAGGATCACTCAGTGGGTGTTGGGGTCACTGCTCTAGCCCCGACCTTCCCTGCATTGCCCCTTCTCTGCTTAGCACTTTGTGCGTGCCAAGTGTGAGAAGCCATTCCTAGGACGTAGGCACTATGAGAAGAAGGGCCTGGCCTACTGTGAGACCCACTACAACCAGGTGAGGCCTGGGGCAGAGGGTGGGCTGGCAGGGCCTGCAAGGGTGCAGATTTGGAAAGGAGGTTGCCTGCCTTTGTCGGGGACTGAGGGATTTTGGAGAGCCTGCAGGGAGGTATGCTGGGTAGGCTGCTGTGTGAAAAACGAGATCAGAGCAAGAGATTATGTGGGCAGCCCACCTAGGAATCTGCTGTGGTGCTGATGCTCCCAGTGCAGTGACCTGGACAGCCCTCCCTGCCTTAGTGTCCTCATTTGAGAAATGTTCTCCTATGCCCCGGCCCCTTGTGGGGACTGAACAAGCTAACTGTGCAAAGTCCTGGGTTCATGGGGCTGACATGTGCCGTCAGCCTCCTTCCTCCTGCTATGTCTGGCAAGGCTGTCCAGCTGTTCTGGTACAGGAGACAGGGGTGACTGCCCTGGCCCATACCCTTCAGGACAGCAGCACGAATAAAGGGGCATTCTGGGAAGCAATGCTTTAACCTGGCGTCCTTCCGAGGGGTTGATTCTGATGTGCCATGGGTACCCTTGCCTCAGGCCTGAGGCTGTGTCCTAGAGGGAGAGCCAGGAGGCCTAGATAGATGCTGAGGACTTTGGGCAGAGGGGCAGAGGGGCAGAGGGGCAGAGCAGGGGCTAAGCCGTACCTCTGGTCTGGGGCTGGGACACTGCTGCCTGTATGTTTGATATCTGTTTGGTCCACAGCTCTCTGGGGACGTCTGCTACAGCTGCCACCATGTGATTGAGGGTGATTGTAAGGCACTACTGTCCTTGTGCCCCCCTCCTTCCTCTATCCCCCTTCACTATCCCCTGTCCCCCAACCCTCTGGGCTGTGGGTCCTGCAGCTGTGGACCCAGCTGGCCCTCACTTCGCACAGCTAGGCCTGTGGGAGAGGCCTGCTAAGCCAGAGTCCCATCTGCCCTCACAGTGGTTTCAGCCCTCAACAAGGCCTGGTGTGTGAACTGTTTCTCTTGCTGCACCTGCAACAATAAGCTCACCCTGAAATAAGTCTTGCCAGCTTCCCAGGGAGACCTGCACAGCATCTTCCTTCTCCGTGGAGCATATCAAGGGGCTCCAAACTGAGTGGGCTTTCTGTGGGCTCTGCCTTTCATCAGGCCTTCCCGGTCATTCTGTTGTCAGGCCCTGTGGGGTGCAGTGGAAGCAAGGGGCAGCTCCAGCCTCATGGAAGCAGGTCCAGAGACCCCCAGGGCATGGTGAAAGGAGGAGTACCACACATTCACAAGGACATTAGGCTCTGGGGAGGGAAGGGCATTGCAGCCCAGGGAACAGAAAAGTCAAAGGCAAAAGAATCAGACTGCTGGCTCATCCAGGAAGCCAAGAGAGGTGCTGTAAGGTAAAGTGGAGCAGGTTTCTGAGGACAACAGGGAACATGGTGGGTTCTGAAGTGTCAGAGCCTGGGAGAAGCCTTTAGGAGGGAAGGGAGGCCTGGAGGCCCATCTCCCTGTCCACTGGGACCTTTGGTGAAAAGCTCACCATGGGGTCTGGCCCACTGGCTGGGGCAGGCTGGTGGGGAGGCTGTGGGCTAGGGGAAGAGGGCAGGCCGCTTCTCAGGCTCTGGCTCTGTGGATTGAGGAAGACCTGGCTCAGAGCTGATAGGGCATGGGGCTCTCCTGACTGCTGCACTTTCTCCCCACGAACAAGTTTATGGAGTTTGACATGAAGCCTGTGTGTAAAAGATGCTACAAGAACTTCCCAGTGGAGCTGAAGAAGTGGCTGAAGAAGCTAGCAGAGCTGGCTGCCCCCAAAGCCTACCCCAAGTCTGTGGGCCTCCCCTCGCCCTCACTTCTCCTCTTCTTGCTGGTCTTCCTGCTCATGCTGAGCTCTTCTGCTTGCTACCTCCATTGCTCATCTTATCTCCCTTCATGGATCTTCCCTTCTCTCTGGTCAGCATTCCCTCCTCTTCCCTTTGCTCCCTTCTCTTGCCCTCTCCCCAGGACTCTTCTCTCCCTTGCTATGGGCTCCTCTCCCTCTTTCTCTTTAGGCACAAGGCAGAGGTGGGGGCCTGGATGTGTTGAGCCTATGACAGGCCCGTGTCTGCAAGCTTTAGCCTGACGTCCTCAAGGGACAGGAGCAAATGGAGACCTGGAGTCACCTGGCCTTTGATGGGGGCCACTTCTCTTAGCCCTGCCTAGAAGACCTGTTCCATTCCTACAGGGGACCTGACAGCTCACACTCTTTTGTGGGGGCTTGGCCAGCCTCTGCCCAGACTGGCCCCACTGTGTACCTATGTGGCCCTGCCCCGCCAGGTAGCTGCCCTGCCCCAGGACCAAGGCCACGGGGAATAGGAACTCTGGTGAAACCACTCTTCCATCCCTCAGCCACCCACTCATCCAAGTAGGATCCTTGTGCCTTAACTGGGCCAGCACATCCTGCCAACTCACCCCATGAATCAGCAGTATGGACAAGGACCCTACTCCCCTCTCACTCAGGAGGCTTCCTTCCTAAAATCTGGCCTTGGCTACTCCATCCCAGGCTTGGGTCACTGTGGCTTTCCCAAGCTCCTCTGTGGTCACCACAGTCCCTCCATCCCTGCACCCCAGGCACACATGAAGCTTCTGGGTAAAGCTGGGGGCCAGAAGGTGGTGGAGCCAGGTGGATGGCTCATTCCTACCCTCCAGGGAGGATACTTCCTCCATGGCCAGCACAGGACTTGGTGTGACTCGCGCTTGCACAATAAATAAAGGCTTGCATACACAACCATTTTGTTTGCATGGTCTGTGGCGATGGGGTCAGGAGGTGGGGCAGCGGCCCCCTTGAACATACTTCAACAGACACCAGACAGGGCAGGTGGGACCCAGTCCCTGTTTCCAGGGCCAGGCTTCCATCAGGGCTTGAAGAAAAAGGCCAGCCAGAAACCTGCAGTCCATGAAGGGTGACCGGGGAGGTAGAGTGTGCTGGAGGACAGGCTCTGACAGGGCTGCCAGTGCAGGAGGTGCAGCCAGTCCTTTAAGGCTGTGCATCCAGATCTGCCTCCTGCATGAAGCCAGCAGCCTCTGCCTCTACATGGCTGGCAACAATGATGTGTCCCATTTTGTTGCCATGCAGGGGAAGGAGGAAGGTGTACAGAGAGAGGGGCTTTTCCACCTAGTCCAAGAAATGGGAAGAAAGGAGGGAGGAAGAGGGGAGAAGAACAAAGGAGGGAGAAACCAATGAAGTCATTCTCTGAGAGCAGAGTTGTCATCCGTGTGTCTCTGGAGAAGTCACAATGCTTTTCCTGGAAGAAACCCTTTGCTGGCCAGCATCTCCCAGGCCTCCTGCTCACCTGAACCTTTATCCTTTCTTTTCACTGACACATTCTTCCCTGTTCCCAGAATTTTTATTGAACATTCTTGGGTGGTTGTCTCAGCCATCTGCCCACTGGGTCAGAAGGCCTGCCACCTCTGGCCCCATGCAGGGGAGGGGTCCTGCCTGGAGTGATGAGGGTTTTGGAGTATTCTGGGGAGGGAGCAGCATGAAAGGCTGCCAGTAGAGGCTAAAAGGACCCCAAATTGGGAAGGTCGATTGCATGGGCAAGTGTACCACCGCTGCTAAGGGTCAGCCAGGGCTGGGGCCCGGGTAGCCCGCTGCTTGTTCACAGTGTTCAGGAGCTGTTGCACATATGAGGTCAGCAGGTCATCCATCTTGTAGCCCTGAACAAGGGAAGGGTGAGGTTGGGGGCTGCTGGGTACAGCTGGGGGTGGTCCTTACCAGAGCCCGGCAGTACTCAACTTTTGCCTTAGGGACACACTGGGCAGGGAGGTGGGAATGGAAATAGGTCTCCTGCTGCAAGAAGACAGGCCCAGAACCACAGGGCCCTTTTGCCAGGTCTCGCCGCCATGCCCCTGGGTGACACCTATCCCTCCCAGCCTGGCATCATCCACAGGTGACCTTGCCTCCTTAGTTAGTAACTGGCCTGGAAGCAGGGCATCAGTGTGGAGGAAGCCTGTCACAGTGCTTCTGGGTCCTGTGTGTTTGAGCGGGGATAGGGGGCTCACCAGAGAGGTCTCACACAGCAGGCGGCTGCCTCGGCCCAGGCTCCCCAGCACCATGTGGAAGTAGGTGCTACCACTGCTCCAGCTGGAGATCTTGGTGAACGGGTAGGTGGTGAGCAACTCCTGGGGACAGAGTGGCTCAGGGTCTGAGTCTGAGCTGCTGCCCTGGGGTCTACCTGAGCCCCTGGGGCCATGGGGGAGGGGCAGAAGGGCAGGTGATCACAGCCCCAACTCTGTGGGGGGTCTTGGGACCCTCGCAGCCTCCCCAGTCCCGTGGAGCCCCGTTGCTACCTTGGTCTTGGGGTGGATGAGCAGAACTCCATGCCGGTTGATGGCAATGAGGACGATGTCTGGGTAGGAGGGTTCCGAGGTTTGCTGGGGAGGAGTGTGGTGCTCACAGCCCATCCTGGCAGGCCAGGTTGCCTTCCCCGAGGCACACGCATGTACACATGTGCCCACATGCCCCTCTCAAACCCAGTGACGAGACTCGCCCCAAGATGTATGTTTGGGGGAGCCCAGGCTGCTGGGCCCAGAGCTGGAGTGGAGCCTTCTTAGGCAAGCACAGGTGTGCATGGGATGAGGCCTACCTTCACCTCGAAGAAGGCCGACCCAAAGGTGGGCCACCGGCAGATCCGCTTTAGGAAGGCCACTTTGGCCTCCTCCGCTGCCTTGTCCCTGTGCTTGTCATAGGCCAGAAGGATGTTCTGTGGGAGATTAGGGTTAGTGAAGGCCTGGTGGGGGCCACTGCTTCTCCAAGCCCTTCACATGGAGCCTAAGGGCCTTAGTCCAGAGCCTGTGTACCTGAGACTAGCTCAGGGGCTGGGGGGGGGCGTGCACTGAGAGGCAGGTGTGTCCTCTGCCCAGAATGTGTCTGTGAGGTACTATGTATGGTCAATGTGGGGAAGGTGTGATATACTTAGGCTCAGACCATCCTCCATACCCAGAAATATGCTCATCCTGCAAAGGCAGGGTCCCTGGGAGGGGCAGTAACCTGAAGGTCCCTCCCCAGCTCCCATGAAGGACCTTTTTCCATTCCTCCAAGGACATCAGGCGCATAAGATTTTCCGGCACAAGTTCCCTCAGGATCTTGGGGATGTTAGCTAGCTGGGACTGGTCGTTGTCAAACTGGGCCTTGTAGATGAGGCCTGCCAGCTGGATGGCATCCTCCCGGGAACACTTGTGGAACCCACGCAGGTACTTGGGCAGCTCCTGGGTGATGGATACACAGTGTTAGGCTGCTACCCCCCAACTCATGTGGCAGGTGGCAGGGGTGTCAGCCCACTCCCACCTAGGAGACAGAGTCAGCAAGAAGCTAAGGCCCTTAGGATAGGGTCTCCTGCAGTGGCAATGACTCTCATGAGTTAAGGCCGAGACCCTTAACATCTTGCTGTGAACACAGTGGCCCACTCGACCCCTATGTAGTTGACCCTTCAGGACAAAGGCTAGTGCTCCTCTGACTGTGGGGTGGTGGGAGGTCCCCTTTCCCCACCCCTCCCTGGCAGTCAGGCTGCAGGTGCTGTTGCCAGTCACTGTTGCCAAATGCTACCCTCTCTCTGCTCCTGGCTCCAGAAACTTCAGGGGGTAGGTCTGGTAACCACATATGGTGAGCCTTCTGGTTGTTCCTGGACCTTTCCCCACAACCCAGTAGACTTTGGGGCCCTGGGACAACGAAGCCCTCATGGGCCTTCTGCTTCCACATCTCAGAGTAGGTGTGGGAGGGAGGGTGGACCCAAACCCCCACTGGAGGGAGTCTTTCTGGGTACCTGGTGGTAATGGAGTATGGTGTCGGCATGCACGTCCTTCCCTGGGGCCACATTGAGCCACAGTTTTCGCATGAAGTACACCTGGTAGGGGAGCATCACAGGGGCCCCTGGGCGGGGACATCAGTAAGCACCCAGCCTGGCCTGGGCCCCAGCTTTTACCAGGACCACCTCCAGCCTGCCAGGCTCTATGGCCATGCCCCACCTCCCCTGGCCAGGGCCCTGCTGCACCCTGCCCGAAGCACGTCTTCCTGACACATTCATAATGCTGTTGTGTTTGTGCCTGCTGCCTCCCCTGCCCACCTTTCTTCCTCACTGGCCCCAATTCTTCCTCATCCTTCAAGACTAGTATAGAAACCACCTTCTCCAGGAATGTTCCTGGACCTCCCTGTCAGGCCTCTGTCCACCCCCACAGCCCTGTGCATCCTTCATCTGTTCTACACCTTCCCTCATATCTTGTCCCTGTCTGAACTGGGAGAGCTCCAGGGCAGGGCCCCCACAGCTGATCCCAGGCCTGGCCATTCTCATGACATGGTGGGGGGAGGGGCGGTATAAGGTGGAATGAATGTATGGGCAAGGGCCATGCAGGAAATGCTAGGGGAGTCTTGTGATCTGGCCCAAGGAGTCAGACACTCCCCACCCCTGCCCTTCCATCACAGATGAATCCCAACCCTGTCCCACAGACACTCCCCACCTTCTTTCTGAGGCTTGCTCTTCTTCACCCAGTCAGACAATTGCCACAAGGAGTCAAAGAAGAAGTCTCCCTCTTTTTGGCTGATGACCTGGATTGGGTAGGGTAAGAGGCAAAGGAGGGTGCACAGGTGGAAGGGCTTCCTGGGAGTGCATTCCTGGGGACACCAGGGCCTGGGAAGCTAGGTGACACACTGGGCCTTGCTCACTCAGGGACCTGTGGACTTCACGAGCCCACTCACCTTTGTCCTTTCAGCCCCTCAGCCCAGTGGGGATTTCCACACACCCTGCCCACTTGCTTCTCTGGCATCTGACCTGCCTGCCAGCTGTACCTTGTCTGCAATCTTGATAAAGAGGCTACAGCCTTCCCAGGAGGCCAGCTGCAGTCTGGCGGAGATGCTTTCACACACGTCCCGCACCCGGCTGTGGGCACCCACTTCCAGCATCTGGGCAGAGGGGTGGCACAGGACCATTTCAGAACAAGTTCAGCTCAGACGAGCCCTCGAGCTCTGACACTGCTGCACCTTCCTAAGTTTGGCTGGACATACCTGGCCTGAGAAGGGCAAGACTTCCTTCTAGAAAACTGGCCAGATGTCATGTTGTGTAGTTACACAGTTTACTGTCTTGGGGGTCTGAGATGCTGAGCACCCTGCAGCCAGACTGGTGACTTTCCATCTGGGGACTTCACCAGCATTTAGACTGTAAAGGCTCATTGCTCCTCGACCTCCTCTGCTCCTCGGCCTCCTCTGCACCTCGCTTTACTGCTGCCACTTGGCTGAGGGCCTCTTTATCACAGCTGGGACTGGCTGGTTTTCTGTCTCCCATCTGCCCCATCTATGGTTCCCAGCTCCCAACATGAGCTCTTTCCGCAAGCATACCCAATGGCAGCACCTGTTCCCTGTGCTCTGGTCAGAAGCCCAAGGGGTCCCATGCCCTGGGACTTAGACTTGCTGCCCACTCTTCTGGCCTTCTCTGCCTTCTGCCCCAGCCTAGAATGTTCCTCTGTACCTTTGGGACAGTCCTGACTTTGAACTGTACTAGTAGCCTCCCTGGAGGGCAAGGGGACTGTCCCTCCCTGCACTGGCCTGAAGTACATGAGGGTGCACCGCACTCGGTTCACTATTGTAGCACACCAGTGATGGGGCAGGGGAAGAGAGTTTCTCAGGGTTTCCCACAGGGGGTGGGGTGGGATTCACCTCGCTGGTGTTGTTGGGGAAGTAGATCTTGTGGCAGATGCGGGAGATGTTCTGCTCTATGGCCTCCACCTCGACTTGGTGTGGGGGCTTCTTCCGGGGCCCCGCCCTAGAGTAGGATAGTGCACACTGCACATGCCACCCTGTCCCCCACCCTGCTGGCCAGCCCCAGCCACCACTACTGAGGGGTGGTTCCCAGGGGGCTGCCCCTGCCTGGAGTGCTCAGCGTGCGGCCCAGAGAACATGGCAGAGGCCAGCCCAGACTCACTTCCCTTGTGACTCAAGGTTCTGAGGAGGCAGGAAAAGCCTGGGACACACATGGGGAGGGGATCCGGCTGGCCAGGACTTCCAACACACCAGGTGGGTTGTTTTCTTGTTCTCATGAAGAATGGACATGGGGCAGGAGGGTCAGGGACACCTGCAGGGCCTCTCTGAGGGTACCCACCTCCCCCTCTACCATCAGGGCTGCCACTCACTGTTGTAGTCACACACATGGCCAGCCTACTCTCCCTCATAGCCCCAGAAGTCCAAGCTAGGGGCACAGGCAGTGGGGCTGAGATCTGAGAGCTGAGGAAAAACTGCCAGGCTCTAAGTGGGCTGGGTTGGAAGACAGCACATGGATTGGCAGGGGTGGGCTTCTGACTTAGGAGGGGAGGATGGGTGGCTTGGGGTATACAAGTCACCTTATGATCTCCAGGCAGTTCCCTGTGGGTCCCAGTTAGGCAGCTGTGAGAGAGGGTGAGCTTGTGGCGGCAGCCCTGGTTGTAGGGGGGGGGGCGGGGGAGGTGGGTACCCTCAGAGAGGCCCTGCAGGAGTCCCTGACCTTCCTGCCCCATGTCCATTCTTCATGAGAACAAGAAAACACTCCACCTAGTGTGTTGGAAGTCCTGGCCAGCTGGGTCCCCTCCCCATGTGTGTCCAGGCTTTTCCTGTCTCCTCAGAATTTTGAGTCACAAGGTTCTGAACCTACCAGAAGCCTCCATGACCACTCAGACCCCCCTGAGACCCTCTTGAGCCTCACTCTCCATCCTCCTCCCCAGTGGCTAGGGACTTGGTCCTGCCTCCTCAAACTGACACCAGCTTCTGCAGAGGATGCAGAATCTGGCTGCACTGGGCCACAAACTCCTGAAGGGCCCAGCTGGCTCTCTCAGCATCTCCAGGGGGCAGTCATGGGAGCTTTCAGGTTCACCTCAGCACCCTCTGGATGCGGCGGCTGCAGTCAGGGGCCAGCAGCTTCGTCCTCCTTGTGTCTATGAATTTCTGGACGTGGGGCATTAGCGCTTTGCCAGGTGGGAAGAGACCAGTGCAGAGCCATAGCAGTTGCCAGCCCCGCTCTTCGCTATACCTGGGGGTGACAGAGTCCATCAGCCCAGGAAGAACCCCTCCCAGAGGCCAGGTGAGCTAGGCACCTTGGGGAGATAGACATGAGGCATGCTCAGCCATGGGCAAGGAGGACCATGACCTAGCTGCTCAAGGCCAAGAAGGCTTTCATACCCATTAGCTGGGGAGGGGTGCTACTGTGTCCATTCTGTGGAGGATCATGCTGAAGTTTAGAGAGGCCAAGGGTGGCAGCAGGCACAGCCCAAAACAGGTACATTGCTCTCCCTGCTCTGATCACTCCAAGAAGTCAGCAGGACAGACCAGGGTTCCAGCCCATCCCTCAGCTACTGCAGGTACCTGGGCAGGCTGTGTGGCCTCCAGGAGCTGCCACCTCCCTGTCTGAACAGTGGGCACAGCCTCTGGGAGCCATTCCCACCCCATCCCCAGCAGACCTCTTGGTATTGTGTGTCAGCTGCTTCAGAATCTGGCAGTAGACTTCATCCTGCAGAACCGTGTCCTGGAGGGCCCACGAGAAGATCTGGTCAGTGAGCTCCATGGAGGTCCAGGCCTGCCGAGAGGGGTAATCGCCCATATACCTGAGAATGGGTGTGGCTATTAAGGAGAATAAGCTGGTGTGGTTGTCTGTCAACACTGATCCTGAGCCCCACCCCGCATGACACCTGAATAGTCCTATGAACTGCACACTGCCCCTGCCTTGTGTTCCGTGAGACCTGGCCCCTCTTGGGGTGATGGTGGGCTCCATGCCCATGGAGATGGCATGGAGCTGGGGCAGGCTAGCCGGGGAAGGATATCGATGAAGATCTGACAACTGACGTCCCACAGTTCCGTGTTGGCATGGACACGCTTGAGCAGAGGCTGCCGCAGTGGCTCAGGGGAGTGAGCCCACAGGTGGCCTCGGGACCTGGTCAGGGGGTACATGGCTCTGCTGACTGTCTCCTTCTCCAGGGCTCTGTCAAAGATAGAGGCTGGTGTGAGGGCTATCTCTATCCCTGCTGCTCCTCTGTCTCCTCCCCATCTGCCTCCTGTTTGGCATAGTCAGGCTGGAGACCCAGACTCCAGTGTGGGTCCCTGTGGAGGTGCCAGCTGTATCCACAGCACTAAGCTGAGACACAGGTCACCCCCTCCAACCTCCAGGGTGGTTGTAGGAGGCTCATAGGGTCACCTTCTCCCCAGGTGGACACCTCACCTGCCTCTGTGGCCTCCCCAAAGCTCTCAGGGAGTTCAGAGGGGCTGACTGGGACTTGTGGGGCATGGTGAGCACCTAAAGAACTCATAGGAGAATGTCTCCAGGGTGTGCAGCTTCTCCTTGGCCTGCTCCTCAGGCAGTGGTTCTGCCGGTTGCCCCTCCTGAGCTGCCAGCTTCCGCTTCTCTGGTGACATGGCCAGCAAGCTCTGTGGGGGCACATGCCTGTGGGTGCCAGGAGCCACTGTCCACAAGGCCCTCCCCATAGGCTCTTCCTGACCTAGTTGTCTTAGTGACTTAGGAGGGGCAGGGCCACAGACCTGAACAGTCCTGGGCCTACTCCTCCTGTATCACCTATTGTGACCCAGGACCAGTGACTCAACCTCCCTGAGCCAGATTCCTTTCTCTTAGGAGGGCTTCTTAGATTTTCCAGGCTCCCTTTCCCCACAGTGCCTCTCTTCAGGGGCATTTGCCACCTGGCCCTGCTGCCTGGCTGGAAGTATGAACCTCCTTTAGGCTACACACAAATGTTACTACCTCAGTGATGCCTGACAGACAGGGTAAACTCCACCCTATTATTTGCTTTCATAACAACCAGTGCTGTTTGTTGGTGGCTATCAGTCGATCACTTGCCCCAGTGCTCCTTGAGGGCAGGGTCCCTGTTGTGGTCAATTCTGTATTGCAGACATGGGATAGACAGTTGGCACTCAATATATGCATATTGGAATGTCTACCTGTCCTACTTCCCAGTAAGGCTGCTCTCAGGGGCTGGAGTGGACTGGTTCTTAAGGGTAGGGAGACTTGAGCCCCCTTGAGCCAGGGTTTCAATGAGGCGGGGGCTGGGGAAGGCATGGGTTTGTTCCTAGGACACACCCATGGTAGGAGAGATGGAATGGATGCCCACTTCCTGAGCTTCCCATGAACTGTCAAGCACTGTGCTGGACATGGCATAGACACTACCAGCTTCATGGTCACCCCAGAGGAACAATGGAGTGGGCAGGGCTGGCCTGATGCCCAGGTGGCCCTCATGGCCCTCAGTGAGGTAGGATACAGGCCCTTGAGCTAGGACCCCCAGAAGGGCATCCTGGTCATTTCCCATGTGCTCATGATGCCCTGATTGAAGATGGGTTACCAGCAGCTGTGCAGAGGGCTTGGTGACTGTTGGGATGACATAGAGACGGGTGGTAAGCATCAGCCCTGTCTTGCCTGTCCTGTGGTTCTGGCCCAGGATCCAGTTCTCAGAGGCCAACAGTCCCTGCTTCTTGGTCAGGATCAGCAAGTCCCCCTTTTTAAAGGGCAGGAGGGTGGCGTCATCTGCAAATCCAGGTTACACACACAAGGGCAGAAAAGTCACAATTTACCAATGAGTCTGCAAAGGCTATGGTATGCTGGAATTTTATGGGTTGTCTTTATTGAGAGATGAGGGAGCTGAGACATAGAACTGAGGGCCCAGGCCACTCTGATGGGAGTGGTGGCAGGATTCACAGAGCTTGGGCTCCCAAGGGCTTGGACAGGCCCAGAACCTAGTGGGTAGGGGCTGGGGAGCTCTGACCATGGCCCTACCTTGGGAGACCTGCTCAGAGACCTGACCAGGAGCTGTGGCCTGTGAGGCAAGAGGTGTGCCAACAAGGGAAGGAATGCCCAGGCTGGCAGTCACAAAGCCAGCCTAGGTGTCATGTTACCCTCATCTGTAAAGTGAGATAAAAGTCCTTTTCTCTGTGGGGCAGTGGTGGGGGCAGACTGCGTGGCAGCAATAAGGTTTCAGGACTGATGGTTTTTACTGCTGTGAGCACAGCCCTTGCCTCCACATCCCAGTGAGCCTCCTCACTCCCTTCCCTAGCCCTGCAGTAACAGCTCTGCCAATTTTCCACGAGTGCTCAGCTCCTACAGGAGTTAAAAACTAGATGTAGGGTTCAAATCCCTCTTCCCCTGAGCTGTGTGATCCTGGACAAGCTGCTTCCCTTTTCTGAGCTTCTGGTTCCCTGTCTGTAAAATGGGGTAACAGGATGGCTGTGGCGGTGGTGCTCAAACTACAGGCCCGTGGCAGGCTGTTCTCTGCAGGAGGAGAGGCTAGGCCCTTCCCACACTTCCCTTGGTACAGTCCTCAGCTAGGGTGGCCTTGGAGGGGTGCAGATCACCTTCTTTAACCCCTCATTTTGTGGAAGGTAGGGTTTTACCCAAAGCTACCCCCTCAGTGTTTTACGGTCCTTTCTCCATCTCCCTGCTCAAGTCCCTGAGCCCTGCTCCTTGTCACATGGCTGCTACAACATGAAGATGAGCAAGTTTCCCTTTCACCAATCACACTCACACCCCACCCAGCCAGGCACCTGTGGCCTTCTGGTCCTGCAGGGCCATAGCGAACACGGATCTCTCCTTCAGGCCCTCCAGAAACATGGCTACCAACTCGGCGATGGCCACACTGCTGGGGGACATAAACTCATACTCCTCTTCATATAGTGTGGACAGCAACAGCCTCTGTCCACCCTGGGCCTCCCTGAGGGGAAAAAACACCACATGACTGAAGGCCTCTTCTGCCCTTTCCATTTTTGCCACTCAACAGCCTTGTTAAGGGCGACCCTCCTGAGTTACAGATGAGGAGACACAATGACTTGTGCAGGGCCACCAGCAGGGCTAGGGTTGGCCCAGACCCCAGGCAGCACTGTGTGTGGTGGACAAAAGACAGCCACAGCTCAGGGCCCATGGGACCTCAGAGGCAGTTGGTGGTACCTGGGGTCAGCTCTGGGTAGGTAATGAGGTGGCCAGTGTGCAGGGCCACCAGAAGGACACAGCAAAGAACTGAGTTGGAACTAAGATGAGGCGCCAGCTTTGGTGAGCTTGGGTGAGACACCCAGCCTCTGCATGCCTCAGTGTGTTCATGTGCAAGCTGGGTGATGCTGTGAGGACTTCATGGCAGATAGTAATGTGCCTAGCATGGTCAGCCTCAGGAAGTGGTGGCCAGTGTGTGCCCTGCACCCAGTGGTAACGATTATAATGGTTATGCCAGCCTGGGGGCTTTAACTGAAGGGGCTCTTCAGGACTCAGGCCAGCCTTCCCAAAGGGCTTGGAGGCATTCTCAGGAGATGAGAGCCACAGAGAACCTTGAGGGTAGGTGGCTGGGCCCAGCCTGGCCTGTAAGGCCACTCTAGCATGGCCATGTGACCTTGCACACACCTAGGCACCCAGACCCTGTCCCTCAATTCTTCTAGATGGCCTGTACCTTCTGTATGACCAGTGAGAAGGAAAGAACCTATAAGGAATATACACCCAAAAGGCTGCAAGACCGTGTGCCCCTTCTAGGAGGATGTGGGTGTAAAGAGAGGCTGAGAGGGCAATGCAGAATCCACAGGCACAGTATCTCATGGGCAGGGCAGTGTGGCTGGAGACAGAAGAGGGTAGGGCCCAATGTCCAATGGCCACCACACTGTACACATCAGTCTTCATCCCTGTACTCTACCTGGGCTCCCAGGATCAATAATGTGCCTCCCTCTCTCCATCTCTCCTGAAGCCCCAAAGACTGAGCTTTGAGGAGAGAAAGATCTGAGCATCTTCTTTGGGGGCACCCACCTGTTGGTGATCAGACTCATGACCTCTGGGAAAGAGAGTTCTAGGAGTGTCCTCTCCTTCTGGTCCAGGAAATACAGCCCCTTCCAATTAACAGCCAAGATCAACTGAGTTTTGGGCAGTTGGGGTCCTGGCCAGAGGAGACAGAGTGTGAAGCATGAGCTGGCCCTGGGTAGGGGTCCTCACCCGCGCCCCTCACCCCATCATTTGCCATTACCAGAGAAGGTGGTAACTTCAAAGAGTCTGGAGAAGAGCAGTGGCCACTGCAGGCGGGCGGCATCCACCACCTGCTCTTGCACGTCCCGTGGCATAGCCCGCTTCTGGGTGTATGGTGCCTGCTCAGGGACACGGTGTGTCACCACTATCACTCCTCTCACATCTTTGCTGGATCATTCTTTGAAGCCCCTACCTACAGTGGAGTCAGTGCCTAGTGAGGACTGCGTGGGACGGCTAGAGAGCTGATGAAGCCCTATTTTACCTGCCCTGGGGGAGGACCCTTCATGGATGATTCTGAGAAGGGAGGGAAGTTTTCTTCTTTCAGCATCAGGATGCCAGTGAGCTGCAGGGCCTGGTTGCTGCTTGCTACTGCTGCATGGAAAGCTGTAGCACACATCTGGGTGTGTCTGCAGGCTCGTGTCTATGTTCTCTGGTGGGCTTTTGCCAGCACAAGCCACATGGGTCTGTATCTTGTTCTGAACATGTGGCCTGTCTTGGTGTGTATCTCTGTGTCCTTGATACCTCTCTCTTCCTATTTTCACATATTTGGGAAGCATTTTCCAGGGGCCTCCACCTCAACTTCCCCTCTCCAGTCCCCATCTCCACTTTCCTTCCTCTTTCTTTCTTACTATTCCCCCTCCTTCACCCTTTCCTCTCCCCATCTCCACTGCTCTGTATGTATGACTGAACTTTCTTTTTACTGTTTGTTGAATAAAATATTTTTGTTTCTACTTTAAATATCAGTTGGGTAATATTCACATACTGACTTGGGAAATATAAATTGATGTGCCATATCTGAAGAGTGACTTGGCAATATGCCACATACATCAAATATTTTAGAATGTTCATACACTCTGAAATCCCTTTTATAGGAATTTAACCTGATGAATAAATCAGGTGTATAAAAGTTATTTCTACAAAGTTGTTCACCTTGTTGTTTAAATAGTCAGAAATGGTAAATGACCTTAACATTCATAACTAGGAATCAAAAAAGTGAATTATAATTCATTAATATATACTATGCACTCAGTCAAATGAATATAAAGGTCAGTATGTAGGGACATGGAAACATGGCTCCATACTATGGGGTCAAGTGAAGAAACAATTTGAAAATTATCATAGAATATGATCTTTTTATTTTTAAAAGATGTTTCTATCATATTCATATCTCATTTGTGTCCATGTGAATAAAGAAGTCTGGAAGGGCATATATCACAACATTAAGCCTGATATATGATGATTTCACTTTTTGTGTTGGCTATATTTTCTGATTTATTTGGTGATGTATGTGTTTGAAGGGTTTAATGAAAAAAAATCATTGAAACTATGTCCACTTTGGAAAAAAGTGGTGAGGGAAAATCTAATTCTTTACCCTCAGCCCAACCCCCCCTTCCCAAAGGAAGGCTACTTCTTACTCATGATCATTTAGGTTCGTGTATGCCTCTGGTTCCCCTCCTTCTCATATATGCTCCCCAGAGTCTGAATCTCTCTTGCAAACATATCTTCCCAAGCTGGGGAACACCATAAAAACTCAAAAGGGGCTCTGCTGCCCCAAATGCTGGCACAGGAGTGTTCCCAAGGAGTGCAAGTGAATGTCTGTGGAACAAGGCTTCTATGGCCAAATATGTTTGGGAAATATTGGATAAAACAGTCAGACTTTCTACTGCATGAACATGTCACTGGGACTCCCTAAGAGCAGAACAGAAAAATAGTATTTCCCAAACCACAGGCACACAGGACCCTTGTCCACGGCCCACTTCAGGTTATCTTTTGAGTGGCAGAAAGGAGATGGCATCACTTGGTCCTCTGCAATGTCCTTCTCTGAATCTGATTGGGCCCTCCTACTGGAACCACTCAGCTGGGGCTTATCTCCCTGCCATTGGGCTATCAATCCCTGATGAGCAGACACTGAGCTGTCTTCTTCTTCCCCACTCCCTATCCTGTCCTTTCTTGGTCCACAGCGCCATAGGGAGGATGGAATTGGGGGAAGCTTTAACTAAAGGGTTTCATCATCCTCCATCATTCCCCACACAGCTCTCCTGCAGCAGTGGCATCAAGCCTTGTCTGGTGCCTCAGAGATGCCTGTGTTCCCTTATGCCTGCTGCAGAGCTCAGCACAAGAGGAAGGCTCTGACAGAGGGGCAGGTCTGGGAAGGCCTATCGTGGGGAGGGGAAGAGAGGCCAGGGGATTGTGAATTAGATGGTATGTCTTTGCTGTCCCCTCTTCAGGTGAAAGTTAGGGAGCAGCAGAAACCTGCACTGGTGTGGGGGCCACTGGAGTGAGTAGAGGCATGGGGAGGAGGTTATGAGCCCCCAGGGGGAGCCATATGCACATGGTGCAGGATGACCAAGCAGGGGGAAAGAGAGGCAGCCCTCCTTGCTGTCCAGAGACTGAACAGAGCATGCAAGGCTCAGAGAGGGGTCAGGACAGGGCAGGGTAGTGCAGAGGTAAAGGTGTGGCCAGGTCAGCCACTGGATGCCCACTTGTGTCAAAGGCTAGGGCCTGGGCAGACACTGTAGTAGAGACCAGTACAGGATAAACTGCATGGACCCAAGAAGTCAGCTTGAAAGGAGGAGGGAGCATGGATGAGCCTGTGATCGGGAGCTGAACCAAAGGAGCTTGGTTAAACCTGAAGACAGAGCTATGCTATGTGTCAAGTTAAAGTTCCTGTTCCCAGTGGGTAGGGGGCTCATAGGGAGGGTCTCATCCTCTCTAGGCTCCCACCCCCCAGAGAAGAGCCAGGGCTCTGTGGGGGCTGACCTTGGCATGGGCGGCAGTGACAAGGCTAGCCCACTGCTCCAGGGGCTTGGTCCTGTACAGTTTGGAGGGGATGCAGCTGGGCAGAAGCTCCTGGACTGCCTCTCTCCCAAGCGAGGCGCCGAGCTGCACATAGCAGTGCCGGGCCAGCAGCTCCACGAGCTCTTCCTCCTGCACAGCCCAGGGCAGACACTCAGGTAAGGGAGGACAAGTGAGAGCATTCCCTCCCCTGCGACACCTCTGATGGTGCCCCAGTGCTCACCCCCAGCACAGTAGAAATGACCAGCACTCAGGCAAGAACCAGGAGCATGAACAGCCACCAGGCCTGAGACCTCCTCCAGGCAGAACTTGCCCTTTCCCCAGCTCAGTGGGTGGACTCACCATATGCCCTTGACTGGGCCCTAACAAGGGAGGTTCCCTGTACTCCTCTCCTAGCCTTCAGGAAGCCATGAGGAGGTAGAGGAGGCCCAGGTGGAACCCTGACATCACTGGCTGTGTGGGGTGAATGTGGGCAAGTTCTTCACTCTGTCTTACCCAGCCCTCACTTGTCAAAGGTAACTAGTGGCCACCCTGAAGGTCTTCTGCAAGAACTCAATTGAGTGAGACCTTGTGTGAGGCACCTAGAACAGATTCCCTGCTCCAGGGGCCCCACAGATGTAAAGTTGCCCTGTGCTCCTGGGAGACCAAAATCCTGTCGCTGCCTGCCTGCCTTCTGGGCTCCTGTACCCCTAACCCCTGACTCTCCTTGCCCACTGTTCCACTCCAGGAAGGCTTCCAGGAGTCCTGAGAGCATCTTCCTCCTGATTCAGGCACAGGGAGATCTGTACCAGCTGAGTAGGTGCACTGCTCTCTCAGGGCTCAGGTGCATGCTCTCCCCTCCCTCAATTCTTACAACCATACAAAGGGCTCTGTACTTTCTAGCTGAGGGCCTGAGGCTCTCAGCTAGACCTCTCCAAGGTCACAATGCAAGAAAGAGGCACAGGCAGGACTTCAACTAGTGCTAGGGCTTCAAGGCCACATCCTTATAACCAGGCCCCACTGCCCCATATACAGCTGTCATTAATGAAGCCAGGCAGGCCTGGAGCTGATGAGAGACTTTCCCTGCCCACTTCTGTGCATGGGCCCTAGAGGCATGAGCAAACCTGTGGCCCAAGGGAAGGACATGGAGGCCCAGCAGTGGGGCCTAGGGACCTGTATTCCATGCATATATCCCCAGACCCCCTGTCTCTGCTTCTGCCCCTGCATATCCCTTAGGCCTGCCCTGCTTTGGCCTCCACAACCCCTGTGGCATGCCCTGCAAGGCTGTGGTGGGTCAATCCCAGGCCCTGACAGCTGTGGTACCCCCTCACCTTCTCAAAGCTGTACTCGCCGGACCAGACTCCATGCAGAACTTGGCGGTAAATGAGCTCAGTGCTGACAGCGTCCTCTTGGGAATCATGCCAGGGGGTAAAGAACTCCTTCCGGAAGTAGAGGCGCCAGGGCGAGTGGCGCTCACTCTCACCCCTCTCTCGGGCCAGTTGTTCACACTGGCCAATGGCATCCATCACATGGTCACGCCCACTGCCCAGGGACCAGAACTGAGGCCAGAGCAGGGCAATAAGAATTAGGGCTGCTATGTACAGGCCTCATGGGGATGTCCACTCTCAGCACGTGTGAAGGTATGCTCAGCAACCCACTCTGGATTCCTAGGGGACAGGAGTCCCTCTGGATGCCTGCCAGTTTTTCCACATAGGGGTATGGCTAGTCTATCATTCTGACACTCCTCCCCACTGGCTCCTCTCAAGGGAGGTGGGGACTGATGCCATGGCCACCATGGCTAGGGTGGTACACTAGACTGGCTGGTTGGTGTGAGTGAGGCTGAGACTGTGGGCATCTTGATGGGTGAGAATGTGAGTCAGGTGGAGCTGTACCAGGTGCCCCCTCAATGCCCCCGCATCTGCTACATGGGAGTGTGCTGCTACCAGCATAAGGGGAGGGCAGGATGTGTGATTGCTGGTGGATGTCTGTGTGTGAGAGGGCTGCTCTGATGTGGCAGGGGCCAAGCAAGGTGTGCAACGTGACATTGGGGCCAAGTGCCAGCCACTGAGCTGAGAATGTGTCTGGGCAGGAGGACAGGATACCTGGTGATGAAGCATTTTTGTGAGTCTGTGAGTGTGCATGTATGAGTATGTGTGTATCTGTGAGTATGTAAGTATATGAGTGAGCACGTGTGTGTGCATGTGTATGTGTGTGTATATATGTAACTATGTGTATCTGATAGTGTGTGTGTGTGTATCAGTGTATCTGTGAGTGTGTGAGTGAGCATGTAAGTGTGTATGTCTGTGTTTGTCATGTGGGAAGGAGAACAGTGGCCAGATTGGTGTGGTTCAATGTCTGGAGCTGACCTGGGTGTGTGAGGGAGGTGGAGGATGGATGGGTGGGACCTATGGCCAGTACCTTATCATACACAGCAACCTGGAGGGAAAAGCCCAAGTGATCAATGAGGCCTTGCTTGCGGGCAATGTGCAGGCAGACTTCCCGAGATGTTGAGGCTGAGTCCACCATGACAGTCAGGTTCTCTCCAGTCACCAAGATGACCTGGACCGGGATGTGTTTCTTGGACTTGACAGCCTGAGGACAGATGAAGACTCAGTCCCTCTGCTCCAGATATCCCTGGGCTCAGGTCCCTGTCCCAGAGGCTGGCCCACTGTCTCCCTCTCTCCCCAAAGTTCTGGCCATCAGATATGGCTGCTACACTGATGGACCTGGTGGAGCAAAAGCAAGGCTGCTGTAGTGTGTGTGCTTCTGTGGGTGGTCCTCAGCAGTCTTCAGGGTGCCACCTGCAGGCAAAGGTTCCCCTCTAACATGAGAACCCTGAGCTCTGGGAGGTTGAGTGACTGAGACTCACAGAGGGTCACAAAAACTCTTGGACATTGCTGAGTCATGGACTCTAGCATTTTTGATACATGGGAGCTACAGTTCCCTTTGTGTATAATAGGGTGTGAGCACACTCATACAGCTGCTGCAACTTCATGTGCAACTCCAGGGCTCATGAGTCAAGCAGGTAGAGGAAGAGAAGAGGAGAGGTCCTGTGGGGTGGCAGGGTGAGAATGGGAAAAAGTATAGCAAAAGGTGACCCCAGTATGAGGCACCAAGGGACACAGGGAGTGAGGGCCTTCCAGGAACCATGAGTACAGCAGGGTGCAGGAGGGGCCTCCTCAATCTTTCCTGTGCCTGAATAGCCCTTCCTGAGGACACTGTGAGAACTCACAGGTGATGCATAGCAATGTGGCCAAGGATGACAACCTTGGAATGACCACTGCCTTCTTTATAAAATGCAAATATCCTAGGGAAGGGTAACACTTTAAGGAATTAGCAGTCATTCACGCTTGAATGCTAATCAGTTTATCAGGTATGTATTTCCACTTTAGCAAGTAGCGCCCTGAAGGAATGTGGATTTACAAGTGGGGAGAGCACTTTTGAAGCCTGGGCTTCTCCTAGGGCAGCTGAGCCCCAGGTGGTACTCACAGAGACAATTGGCATAGAAGGATCTCCAAGAGGGTGGAAGAGACCTAAGGACACACTTCCTGCTGGAAGCACAAAAGAAGCCACCCCAGAATCTGTGCTGGAGGAGCCACGGGGGCTGGCACCACCCTACCCTGACCATTTCCCACTCCAGCTAGTCCCTACCTGTAGCTCCAGCCAGGTGGGGGGCTCCATGCGAACCCCATTCGCATAGGTGCGTCTCAGGCGCTCAGCACAGAAGGGCCCATAACTGGCTGGCCCTTCACCAATGAAGTTCAGCAGATACTGGTGAGAGAGGAAGGGAAAGGAAGGAAGACACTTAGGGTGGGGCCACTTTCTACTTACTGCCCAGATGGGTTCTAAAAATTATATTCATTCTAGCTCTGTGAGGTGATAGATGTGTCAACTAACCTTACTGTGTGATCATTTTGCAATATATGCCTATATAAAATCACTACACTGTATACCTTAAACTTATGTGATACCAATTATATCTCAATAAAACTGGAAACAATTTTTAAAAAATTTTAAATGATAATAGTGTTGGCAAAACACAGTCTCACATAACATGAAAAGGACATAAATTGAACATTTCTTAGGATAAATTTGTCAATGTTTTAAATAGTACATGGTTTTATTAAAATGTGCAAACTCTTTAATCCAATAGTTCAGACCTATCCTAAAGGCAAACACATATATATATATAAATATAATAAATAAAGATTTTATTTATTTATTTCTAGATAGGGGAAAGGAGAGAGAAAGAGAGGAAAACATCAAAATGTGGCTGCCTCTCATGTGTCCCATACTGGGGACCTGGCCCACAACCCAGGCATGTGCCCTGACTGGAAATTGAACAGGTGACACTTTGGTTTGCAGGCTGGCACTCAATCTACTGAGCCATGCCAGCCAGGGTCAAATATATACATTTTTAATCACGGTAGTATTTATAGTAATAAGCAAATGGAAGGTGGACCCAAATGTCCATCCACAAGTTAAATACTCTATAGGATAGCTGTATATACATATGGCATTAAAGATGGCATTTGAGAAAAGTTTGTCACATGAAAAGACACTTGCAGAGACAAGTGAAAGATACAAGAGAGTTGATGTTCAAAATGTTTGATGACCTGGCTGGTGTAGCTCAGTGGATTGAGTGTGGGCTGTGAACCAAAGGGTCACAGGTTCGATTCCCAGTTAGGGCACATGCCTGGGTTTCAGACCAGGTCCCCAGTGGGGGCCATGTGAGATGAAACCACACATAGATGTCTCTCTCTCTCTCTCTCTTTCTCCCTCCTTTCCCCTCTCTAAAAATAAATAAAAAATAAAATCTTAAAAAAAAAGCTGTGGATGTCAATTCTTAAAAAAATGTTTGATGAAATGTGTTGAAAATCTTTTCAATCAAGGAGAGATTTTTGTGAGAAGATGCAGCCTGGAATGATTGACTGGTGTCAAGAGTGGCCCTAGTGCCCAGTGCAGATGGCTGGGGTTGACCATGCTTCCTGCTGTCCCCAAAGGCAGAGAGAAAGTGACATTGTTTTCTGTATGACCACAAGTATGACACTATAGCACCACAAAAGACCAAAAATTGTAACAAGTTACCTCTGGGTGTGGAGAAAACTTATTTTCTTTTCAGATTTTCTGCATTTCCTACATACTACTTTTATGATAAGAACCAAAAGACATATTAAAGCAGTGAAGCCTGTGGCCTTTAACACTGCATCTGTCAATACCTCACCTTCATTTTTAGTTCAAGGGACCAGAGAGAGATGCTTCAGGCAATCTCCACTCACTGCTCAATCCTAGGACACCTTTGTTTTTTCAAGGCACATGTCTTCTACCATCTCAGAAGAGCCACCCTAGTGCCTCAGACCAAATGAACTGCAGCCCATGAATAGAGGCCAGAAAAACCAGGTCCAGTGTCCTCTTTCACAGAAGGGAGAACTGAGATCCAAAGAGGCATAGGCACTGATGTTCATCATGGCAAGTAGAAGCAGAAGAACTGGGCCCCAAACTGGGATTTCTGGACTTTCCCCATTGCTCAGGACCAACCCATACTCCCATGTACCCTGTTACCCCAACCCCAGCCACTGCCCTGGGTCTTCCCCACCTTCATGAACCTCTCAGAGGGTGGGAAGCAGCCTAAACAGAGGCTGAGCAGGATCCAGCCCCGGGCCACACTGCTCATTTTGAAGTTTTCCGACAGTTGCTTGCAGATCTGGCAGTAAATCTCATCCCTGAAAGACATGGACCACTAGGAGGTCAGGATGTAGGCTAGCTCTGAGAAGAAGGGACAGGTAACTAGGTACACAGCTCCTTCTACACCCCTGGGTGGTGTCATGTCCAAGGGGCAGCCTCCAGCTTTCTCACCTTCAATTGCCTTTGCTGACCTCCCTTGCTGTATCGCTGGCTGACCTGGACCTTGTCACCTCCTGAAACTGTGCTGCCTCCAGTGCCTGCCCAGGGCTCTGTTTCCCCACTCCCATTAGCTATCATTACTTAGCTCATCAAGGCCTTAGCCTTTGTCCTCTTGGTCAGTCATCTTGTCCCTTCAGGATTTTGCTCCCTACCTCACCCACTCTTCCCACAATACCCTGGCCCTCCAGCTGTTGGGCATGGAGTCAGGGAGCGCCCAGGGGTCTCCAGCCACAGTCCTGTCCTCAGTAGTGTACACCTTTGTATGACCTGATCTGCTCCTTTCCCCAACTTTGTAGTTGTTTCACACCTTCTCCTTCTGCCTTGAAGTCCTTCCCCTTTCCCTGAATGCAGCTACCCTGCCACCCCTCTATAGAGAAAAGTGGGGTCTCCTAGACTCCATAGGAGAACTTCTCAACTCCTTGTCTCCTGACCAGCAAGAGTTAAGAGGAAGGCACAGAGAAAGCATTCCCACAGGCCCACGACATTTTTCTCTCTGTCTTCTCTTATAGAGGGGACTCTTCTGGACCCTTTCTTACTTTATCAAGCCTCTATCATCTTATTAAAGTATCCCAGTTAGCCTTCCAACCTCACCTCACATATCTAGAGGCCAGCATCTTTTCCCTAACACTCAGTGGTGTGCTGGTGTTTCACAATCAACTTTTCTGGGGAAGAAAGCCCTGAGTCATTGTATTTGCCCATTTCTGTGGTGAATATTCCAATTGATACCAATTTCAAGCTGCCAACCTGATGCCACTGAACACAGAGTCGGAAGGAAATGTGCCTCATGGACTCTCATGGCCTAGTAAACTCATCTACACCACACCTTTCCCAAGTCTCTACAGGCACCACCATCAACCATTCACCTAGTTGGAAATCTGGGAGCAATCTTAGACTCCTTCCGGCAGCAACCATATTCTACCATCTGTCTCATGGATGTTTTCTCTGTCTGTTTCTCTTATCTCTTGCTCCCTGGGCCATCTCCCCTCAGCTCTCTCTGGACCTCTGTAGCAGCCTTCTTCTGGTCTCCCACCCCTAAGCTCCATCTCTCCATGTCATTGTCAGGGAGAACTTTCTGGAAGTCAAATATGGTCATGGTCTTCTCTTACTTAAAACTTATCCTTACTTACCCCTATGATTACATTCAAACTCAATTCCCAGTTGTGATAAAACACTTAGAATTCCAGACCTTTGGGCTGTTTTAAAACTTTGTGACTGTGCTCACCCTCTCCCTTCTTTCTGGTGAAATACTCCTCCTCCTTCTCACAGCTCCCCCCTAGGAGGGCATTACAACTACTTTTTCTTGGCACCCCCACTGGAATCTCATGTTAGCACAAGCAGTTGTTGTGGGTCTCCAGGTCCTCCCATGCTCCCCAACTAAAGGGTGACCTCCTAGAGGGCAGAGACATGTCATCTTCATCTCTGAATCCCCAGTCTAGGTCCTGCCCCTGAGGAGGTAATTAATAAATATTTATTGAATGTATGGCTGGATGTGGGTGGAGCATTTGCTTTGACTTGGAATTTTGCTAAGACCCCAGAACCAAAGACAAACAGGTGATAATACTCAAGGATCTACTAAAAGGTGAAAGAACCAGTTAAGCCCCCATGCCATCTCCAACCTGCATAAGCGAAGATGAGAAATGTGAAAGGCTATTCCTGGAAAGGATTTCATAGGAATAGAGATATTTCTGGCCTCTCTCCATTTGCTCCAGATGAAGGGTGTGAGGGGGTCCCCAGGAGATTGCCAATACAGACAGAGGCTATCTGCCAGAGGTGAGACACATCTCGTTCCCCATTTGAGGCATGCTGAGCCCCAGAATTCCATTGTCTCACTCCAAGGTACTGGAATAAAGCAGAGTTCTTGAGAGTGCTTGACCTCTGTCCCCCAAAGACATAAGTGGGGGCCTCCAGTAACAGAGAGACTGGTGTCTTCTTCCTTCTGGAGAACTGTAAGCTATCCTTGATGGACAAAACGAAGCAAGAACAGTCAGAAGCTGGGAATGTCATTGAAGGAGCTGAGTTTCAGATGTCTTGATGAGATCTCACACAAACAGGCAGCCCATCATTCCAGAAGGTCCCAGCAGTAAGGTTGTGATGTGTTCCATCAGCAGATAGTTGGCAGGGAGTCTCAAGGGATCACTGAGTGAGTATCAGCCCCATCTGAAGACCAGCACTGTGTGAAAGTGCCTATAGAGTTATCTGACAAATCCATAGTGTGCCTCATTTGGACACAGCCTTTACATGTCTGTCATATTAGAGGGTGTGGTGGCTAGTGAGGAGTAACTATGAGAGACTACCAATAGAACCAACTAAGTAGAGTTGCCTAGTTGATATCACTCAGGCAGCTAAAACTTGAGTAGAAACCCTGGAGTCTTATTACCTTCAAGAACCAGAAGACAGATTTTGGGGTACCTACAGTAGTTGAAAAAGGGAAATCCTAGAATGAAGAGAACAATAGAAAAGGAGTCCTAAATTTTGCATATAAAATCTTCCATAATCTCTGTTTGAGTACAAGTTTATACATGTGTGGGGCAGACTCCAGGCTGCCCAGCAAAGGCTAAAAGAACTAAACAGGGATTCCAGCTGCTACTCACCACAGGGAGACAGAGTTTAAAACCAATCAAGTTGATTGCCTACCTGAACAAAAAGTCAACACTCTTTGAAAAAAACACAATGGAATCCAGAGTCTCTAAACAGCATCCTCCATGGTCAGTATACAACTCAAAAGTACTGGACTTATGAGAAAATACACTAAAGTACTATACATGTGAAGAAACAGGAAAAAAAAGACCATTCTCAAGAGAAATGGCAGTCAATGGAGACTGACCCTAAAATGATGCAGATAATGAATTTAGCAGAAACGGTTTTATTTTTTTAAAATAATTTTTAAATTTTCAATTATGGTTAAAGCACAATTTACAACAGCCAAGTGCAGGAAGAAAGCTAAGTGCCCATCAATAAATGAATGGATCAAAAAAACTATGGTACATTTACACAGTGGAATTCTATGCAGCAGAAAGTAAGGAGTTCCTACCCTTCGCAACAGCATGGATGGAACTGGAGAGCATTATGCTAAGTGAAGTAAGCCAGGCAGTGAAAGACAAATACCATATGATCTCCCCTCTAAGTGTTACCTAATCAATAAAACAAATAAGCAACCAAAATAGAACCAGAGACATAGAAATAAAGAACAAACTGACAGCACCCAGAAGGGCAAGAGGAGGGGGACAATGGGAAAAGAAGGGGAGGGGTCATCAAGGAACATGTATAAAGGACCCATAGACAAAGACAACAATGTGGGGGTGAGAATTGAATGTGGGAGGTGGGGGTGGGTAGGGAAGAGGAGAGTAATGGGGGCAAATGGGGACAACTGTAATTGAACAACAATAATTTAAAAAATTAAAAAATATGTATGATTTTAGCCAAAAAATGTACAATATTATTTAGTTTCAGGTATACGACCCCACGATTATACATTTACATACCTTACCAAGTGATCACCCTGATAAATCTAGTACACCTCTGACACCATACATAGTTTACAATATTATTGACTATATTCCTATGCTGTACTTTACATTCCCATGACTATTCTGTAACTACCAATTTGTACTTTCTAATCCCTTCCTTTACCTTCTTCACACATTCCCTCAAACCCCGTTCCACTGGATAACCATCAAAATGTTTTCTGTATCTATCACTCTATTTCTGTTCTGCTTATTTATTTTGTTTTTCAGATTCCACATGCAAGTGAAATCGCATGGCATTTGTTTTTATCTGACTGACTTATTTAACTCAGCACAATACCCTATAGGTCCATTCATATTGGTACTGGTGGCAAGATTTCATTCTTTTTTTTTTAAGATTTTATTTATTTATTTTTTAGAGATGGAAGGGAGGGAGAAAGAGAGAGAGAGAGAGAGACATCAATGTGAGATTGCTGGGGGTCATGGCCTGCAACCCAGGCATGTACCCTGACTGAGAACCAAACCTGTGACACTTTGGTTCGCAGCCCACGCTCAATCCACTGAGCTACACCAGCCAGAGCCCAAGATTTCATTCTTTTTTATGGCTGAGTCATATTCCACACTATATGTACACCACCTCTTTATCCATTCATCTACTTAAGTTGCTTCCATATTTTGGTTGTTGTAAATAGTGTTGCAATGAACACATTGATGCACTGATGACTTTTCAATGTAGTGTTTTGGGTTTATTTGGATAAATACCTGGAAGTGGAATTGCTGGATCCTTCTTTGTCTCTTGTTATAGCCTTTGTTTTAAGTTCTAATTTGCCTGGTATAAGTACATTACCCCAACTTTTTTTTTGTTTCCATTTTCATGAAATTTCTTTTTCCATCCCTTTACTTTTAATCTGTGTGTCTTTACATCTGAAGTGAGTCTTTTGTAGACAACATATGCAAGGTCTTGTTTTCTTCTCCATTCAAGTTACCCTATGTCTTCTAATTAGAATACTTAATCTATTTACATTTAAAGTGATTATTGATAGATATATATGTATTGCAATTTTATTATCTATATTTTAATCTCTTTCTTCTCCTTCTTCTCCTCCTCCTCCTCCTCCTCCTCCTTCTCCTTCTCCTTCTCCTTCTCCTTCTCCTTCTTCTTCCTTCTTCTTCTTCTTCTTCTTCTTCTTCTTCTTCTTCTTCTTCAAGAATAGCCTTCAACATATTTTGTCATACTTGTTTGATGGTGATGAACTCCTTTAGCTTTTTCTTGTCTGGGAAGCTCTTTATCTGTCCTTTGATTCTAAATAATAGCTTTGCAGGGTAGAGTAACCTTGGTTGTAGGTCCTTGCTTTTTCATTACTTTGAATATTTTGTGCCAATCCCTTCTGGTTTGCAAAGTTTCTGTTAAGAAATCAGCAGATGATAGAGAACAGGCTGACAGTGTCCAGAGGAGAGAGGGGAGAGAATTTCAGGGGAATTTCAGGGGAAAAGGGGAAGGGTTTATAGGAACAAGTATAAAGGACACATGGACAAAAACTGGGGGGGGTGGAAATGGGAGGAAGGTGGGGAGGGCTGGGAGGGTGGGCTGGGATGGGAGTAAAAGATAGAAAATTGTACTTGAACAACAATTAAAAAACAAAAAAAGAAATCAGCTGATGGTTTTATGGGAGCTCCCTTGTAGGTAACTGCTTTTCTTTTGCTGTTTTTAAGATTTTCTCTTTGCCTTTTACCTTTGGCATTGTAATTATGATGTATCTTGGTGTAGGCCTCTTTGGCATTATCTTGTTTGGGACTCTCTACATTCTCTGGACTTGTATTTCTTTTTCCCTCACCAGGTTAGGGAAGTTTTCAGTCATTATTTTTCAAATAGCATCTCAATTTCTTGCTTTCTTTTTTTCCCCTCTATGATGCAGATATTGTCATGTCTGATGTTGTATCAGAGATCCCTTAAACTACCTTCACTACCCTAATTTTTCATTCTTTTTTTTTTCTTCTCTGAGCTGAGAAGCCTCCTTAGTCATCTGAGCTGAACACTCCAGGTATACCTCCCATGTAGGCTGTGTACTTCCTCCTGTTGTAGTTGAGCTTTAATTGCTGTTGATGCATCAGTGAGAAAGATTGATCCCCAAATCCATTGGCTATGACATTTGCTGTGACTACAGTTGGAAGAGCTACTGTGCAGAGACCAATCCTATGGATCAGAACTTGCTTCAGCTCTCCTTGAGTGTGTTGCTTCTGGAGGTGATTTGGTCATGCTCTGGTGTGGTCTAAAGCTGGCTAGAGTGTGCTGGCTCTGGGTCCTCCCAAGATGTGTAAGCCAAAGTTAACTGCACCCTGTGCCTTTCCCAGGACTTCCTGGCATGAGCTACAAAGTAATCTGCAGATGGCTTCTACTTTTGTTGGGCTTAGAGGTACCCAGGAGAGGTCAGGCTGTGAACTGAGTCCTGCTGCCACTAGTGCCAGGCCTCCGGCTACTTAGAAAGAGGCACATGGCACACTGAGTCCAGATGCTGCTTGTTTGGGGTTTGTGAACATTTGAGAGAATTTAGGAAAGTCAAAAACATGAGCCATGGTAGGCCATTTGTATGGAAAAGCCACTGGAAGTGGCTAGGTGGGCCTGCAAGTTGGGTATGGCCTGGGCTCAGTGAATCACCAGGTCAGGGCAATGGTGTTAATTTGGTTGATGGTGACTCAGATATGGCTCCTGACTGTGCCTACAGGGACAGGGCTCAGCAAAAAAACAATGACTTCTGCCAGCACTTCTGTTTGGGAGAAAGTTGCCCCTCTAGCCCTTACTCTGGAGGCAGACACTCCAGTTCCTCCCTTTGTGTCCCTGGTGCCTTTTCAGCTGCTGCCCCAATAATGGAGTTCAAAGTGAGTCCAACTAAGTCTGGGTATTGGCCCTTTAAGAGGAAAGCCTGGGATTCCAGAAGTCCTCTGCCTAACTCAGCCACAGTCTCCACTGGTTTTTACTTCCAGAAATTATGAGAACCTATTTTCCCGGCACTGGAACCCTGGGCTGGGGGGCCTAGTATGGGGATAGAATTCCCTGATCCTCAAGAAAAACCTCTGCAGCTGATATATTCCTCCCGATTTTTAACTGTCACTCATTGGTGTGGGGCCAGCTCATTCCATGTCTCCATCTCTCCTATCAGTCTTGACTTGGCTTCTTTAGTATATCCTGTTATAGGACTTCTGCGTAGCTTGATTCCAAGTGGTTCTCAATGATGGGTATTCTTCAGTTTAGTTGTTATTTTGATGTGATCATGGGAGGCAGCAAATAAAATGTTTACCTACTCTGCCATCTCGACTGGAGGCCAGAAAAGGTTTTAAAACTACTGTAACTATGCTCAAGAACATAAAGAAAACTATGTTCTTAGTACATGAATAAATAGGAAATATTCACTGAGAAATAGAAACTATTAAAAAAAAACCCAAGTGCAAACTCTAGAACCAAAAAGAATAATTTCTGAAATAAAAAAAAATATTAGATGGGTATAACAGCAGACTGGGGAAGACAAGAGAAAGATCAGTTAATTTAAAGATGGATCAATAGAAACTATTCAATCTAAAGAACAAAGAGAAAAGTGAAAAAAAGAAAAAAAAAGAAAAATACACCCACAGGGACCTGAGGGACAATATAAAATAGTCTGACATAGGTTTAGTTAGAGTTTAAAGGAAAAGAGAGAGGGTGGAGAGAGAAAAGAGAGAGAGAGAATAAAGTAGAAGAATTATTTGATGAAATAATGGCCAACAATTTCCCAAATTTGGATAAAAATAACCTAAAATATGTAAACCTCTAAAATATTAATCTATCCCTGAAAGCAGTACACATATTTGTTAAAATTTGCTGAAAACACTTCTGTAAATAAAATTTTATATAAAGCAAAATATACATTTTATAAATGAGGAGTTTGCTACCTTATAGGACCCTGCATTATAGGCTGTTATGAAATGAATCACTTAGCCCAGGATGAATCTGTTTTCCTAAAACCCATAGGATTTACTTCAGAGCAAGTAAAGATCCCTTGATGGTCATAATGTCTATTGTACTGAGACCCAGCCTGTAGGTCCCAGGATAGGGAGCAGGGAGAGGAGGGGGTGTCTTGGGGATAGGGAGCAGAGAAGGAGGTTGTGGCTATGGGCTGAGATCCAGTGAGGGGGTCTGATATTCTAAATGGGAGATATGAGAGTAGGGACTGACCTGAGGCTGGGCTTCAGGATGGCATAACTAACAATGAAGTGCACCTTCTCCAGGTTGGACATGGGTCGGTCTGAGATAGAGCCATCAGACTCAAATGTCTCCTCTCCGAAATTCAGTTGGTTGGCAACCTTGAAACCCAAAAACAGCAGTTAGGACCACTGTGATTTTCCCCATTTTCAAAGTAAATAGGGCTGAGGTGGGAAGCAAAAACCTGGAACCTGGTGGGTAGCAGAGGTGGGAGCTCCTGGCCCTGAGCTCACCTGGCCTGTGATCTGGGAGGAGCGCCTCAGCTTCATGAAGGAAATGTCTTTGGTCCCTCTGTTTCTGAGGCTGGGCCTCTGTGGATAGAGACAGTTTGTTAGTGAAGGTGAACAAGGGCAGCACCTCAACGCTGCTGACCTGACAGCCTAGGGTGGAACAGTATCCATCTCACCCAGACATTTCCTATCCAATTTACAAAACATCTCAGCTGGATTTTGCAACATGTACACATGTGCAGCACCATCCTCAATCCTGGGTGAGGACACAGAAGAAAGGGAAGGTGAGAGATGAAACAAGGCTGGTCTGCCAGTAACTGGCCCTCTGGGAGGACTCAGGACTTTTATGACTCCAAAGCTTGAACCTGTTACCAGTAAAAGCCTCTGAGCTAGGGCTGGGTCTGAGCCCAGGGGCCCTGGACAGCCCCAGGCCATGGTCATTCTCAGTGAAAACTGGGTGAATGAATTGGAATATGTTCTGCCCATGGCAAGGTGAGAGCCCTGCCAGGTTATCAAAAGAATCTAGGTTGCAAGGCCATCAGGATCCTCTGGTCTCATCAGACAGAGGCATCTTGTCACATCTTGTCTTGATGGTGTCATGAGATGTGGCTGTCAACAGTAGAGCTGAGCATGGTACTGGACTTGAGTGGGGGTCAGCCCAGGTCCCAGGGCTAGGCACAAGCTTCTGGTTGGGGAAGCTGGTTTGCCACAGAGACAGAATGTGACACACAGTAGTTGTCCCTATTTGCAGATGACATGATTATCTACATAGAAAATTCCAAGAAATCTATAAAAGTGAGTTCAGCAATGTTGCAGGATACAAAGTCAACACATTAATCAATTACATTTTTCTACAGTAACAAGGAACACTAGCAGCAAAATTAAAATATAGTCCCATTTACAATCTCAAAAAAAAACCCCTATATGTGTAAGTCTAATAAAACATATATAGGGCATGTGTGTTAAAAACTACAAAACACTGATGAAAATAAAATCAAAAGAGATCCAAATAAGTTGAGTTCATGGATTGAAGGACTCAGCATAATAGAAATGTCAATTATCCTCAAATTGACATACAACAAAATTCCTATCAAAATACCAGCAAGGTTATTTTTATAGATATGGGTAAGATTATTCTAAAATGTATATGGAAAGGCATGGGACCTACAACAGCTAAAACAATTTTTAAAAAGAATAAGGTGGGAGAAATTAGTGTACACAGCTTCAAGACATTATATATGTGCAGTCAATAGGACAACATGACATTTGTAGAGGGACAGACACATAGATCCATGGGGCAGAATAGAGAACACAGAAATAGACCCACAAACTTGTACAACTGATTCTTGACAAAAGTGCAAAATCAGTTCATTGAATAATGAAAATTGGAGGTCTGACCTCTGGAAAACCAGTCCTGCTTCTCCCTGTGCTCATCCTCCAGAGGTGCACCATGGCTGGACTGCCTCTCAGGGTCCCTTGCCTGAGTGGCCACCAGCCCCCACGGCAGCCCCCAGCAGTCCCTGCCTCCTGACTCTCATGGTATGTGACTTCCAAGACTAGGCATTGCAGCTTCCTTCTGGCTTTCTCTCTTAGATCACTCACTGTGGAGGAAACCATATTGTGACAACACAAACAGCCATGTGGAGAGGCCCATGTGACAAGGAACTGAGGCCTTCTGCCAGCAACTACCTGAGGGACATCTTGGAAGCAGATCTTCTAGTCCCAGTGGAGCCTTGAGATGATAGCCATCCTTGTCGACAGCTTAACTGCAATCTCACAAGAGACCTTGAGCCAGACCTAACCAGTTAAGCCACTTCTGGCCCCCAGAAACTATGTGAGAAAATAAATGTATGCTTTTCCAAGCTGCCAAATTTTGGGGTACTATGTTGTGAAGTAATAGATCGTTAATATACTCTGCGGAGTCCATGCCTCTAGAGACCAGGGCTTGAGCCTGAGCACTTCCTATGTAATTCCAGGCCTGATGTGTCCAAGTGATCCTGGGCTGCAGACTAAGTCTGCACACAGTCTGTCTGCCCACAGGGCTTGAAGTATGGGGCAGTCATGGGCTCCTGCTGCTGGTGGGCCCATGTGCTGTCATTGCTGTTCCTTTGGACTGCTCTTGGTTGGTTCAACTAAGATTACATCATGAACTGAATCCTTCAGAAGCACTTCTGACCAACTATGAATGTCCGTTAACCTTCCGTCAGAGCTTAGGGTAGAACACTAGTCGAGAGCTTGGGCTTCGAATTCAGTGCAATGAATTCAAAGCCCAGTTCTGTCACATGTATTCACTGTGATTTGGCAGCAACTCACTTCACTTCTCAGCTTCTTTGGCTATAATAAACATAAAAATCCCTACCTTATAGGGTTGGGGCACTTGAGAATTTACTAAAGAGAAGCTACTGACTCATAGCACATTGTCAGTCAGCAATATCTGTTGTTATTATTGTTATATGCATTTGAATCCTGATCAAGTAAACCCAATGTTCAGAGCTTGGGACCCTCTCCAACAATGACCACATAATTCAAAATGTCCTCAGTGTAATGCCTGACTCATGAGTTCCTGAGTGCAGTTCAAGAACTAACAAAACAAGCAAGCAAGTAAAATATAACCAGAAACATTAAAATTAAGAACAAACTGACAGTAACCAGAGAGGAAGGAGGAGGGAAATAAGATGGCAAAGAAGGGAAAGGGACATAAATGAATATGAATGAGGGACCAATGGATGGAGCCAAGGGGGGTGGTGGGATTGAGGGTGGGAGGTAGGCATGGGTAGGGTGGAGGAAAGTATTGATGGGAAAATGGAGACAACTGTATTTGAACATTAATTAAAAAATGATTAAAAAGAAAAAAAAGACAAACTCCTGGAAGTAGAGAGTCCTGGCTTGGGCTGGGTTCAGGGTGGTACATGAGGGGACTCCATGTCTTGCCCCCTCTTCCAGGCCTCCCCTGGGGCCTTGGGCCTGGTTGATGCCTAGTGGTGTCTGCCCTTTTCTGTTACCATCCTCATCCACGCACCTGTGCATATTTGTGCTGTGGAGACTGGGTTCTGCTCTCCTTGCCCATGATGTTATGGGTCTGTTGCATCACTGAGTTGCCACTCAAGTGGTTTCTGGCAAAGAGGACTGGCTCTGGAAGGTCACCCATGAATCTCAGGATGATGGTCCACACAGCCAGGGCACCCTGGGGAAATTGAGACAGAGATCCCAACTGGAACTCAGCTTGCAGCATGGGGCCCACAGTGCAGGTTAGGGGCTGTGGGGGTGGCTTGAACCACTAGACACCAGAGAACTGCTAGGTACCGAGCAGTCAGCATCATCCTCATGGTAGAGCAGCGGGTATTGAAGGGGCTTCCGGATATGCAAGTGGCTGGCCGATTTCTGGAAGTAGGTTGCAGCAAACTTGGGGAAGCTGTACTCAGCCAGGCTGTCCATGTCCTCCTCGGGATCTTCCACCATGGGGACTGTGTCCAGGTCAATCTCGGGCAGTTTTTGGGTCTTTGTTTCCATTTCCTGGGGACCCATAAGAAGTAGGGAGAAACATCAGCCTTCTTTTCAGATGCCATTCTTTCAAAGGTGTGCATCTCTGGGGGCCAGGAAGCCCCAAGAAGGGTCTGTCTGGTTATGCACTGGATGCAAAGCCATCTGTCCACTCCCCCTTGTGTTGGGGACCTCTTCTACCCCACACCTCTGTTGGCCCCTGGTAGACTGCTGTCTGAAGGATGGTCCTCAGTGTAAATTTCTCAGCTACCTGAGGACCTTCAGAGCCCCTGGCCAAGAGATATAGGCTCTCTAAGCTCCCTGCCCTCCTGCCTGCTTTCTGTCAGGTGCCCCTCCTGTGGAGGAGGTCCCAGTATCCCTACTGAACAGATGGGAGGGGAGTTGTACTGTGTGTGCATGCATGAGTGATAGAAGAGGCATGAGGCCCAGAATAGTGCATGGTTAGAGTCAGCAGGACAGCCTTGGGAAGTTGCTTTTTTCCTACCCTGCTACCTCCCCCTCAAACACTGCTTCTTCCTGCCAGTGATCATTAGTTCTCAGCATCAGGTCCCAGGTACAATCTAAGAGCAGCAGCCACCAAAGTGCTCTGCGCAAGGGGTCAAATACAGGTGTACAGGTGCCTGACTGAAAGAAAGTCCAATATCGTATGTGTATTAAAGGATCTAGAAAGTCTTGCAGGTAAGAAACCTGCTTACCTTGAAAGTGTGAGGCCACAGAATGCCATTCTCCCCTTTTCTCTGCACATTCACCAAGGACTGAAGAACACACTTCAGCACCCATCCTGCCAACTCCCCCACAGAGTCTGCTTCTCATGAGCCTAGAGGTTGACTAAGGTCTGGACTGAGTGGGCCCAATCCCCTCCCTGCCCAGATGGACCCTTGAAGGACAGGGTCTGTCTTACCTCAGAGTGAGGTGAGGCCTGGCCCTCCTGCCCTCCAATCATGGACGGGAGGAAGCCAAACACTTGCTCAACCATCTCTGTGTCTGTAACAGTGTTGTAGATTGACTTGCGCTTCCTGGTGGGTGGAGAACTCAGGCCCTTTGGCTCTTCAGCTGGGATGACCAGCAGCCCCTGCACACACACCCCATGGGGAAGGTTATTCAGACTCTGCTGGGGCAAGTACCTCACAGAAGCCAATAAACCTGCTCCTGCCATCATCTATCCAAATCAATGTATTTTCCTCTAAAGTCCTAAATTGTAATATCTAGAGTGACTAGAGATTAATCAGCCTGGGCTTTTGATTTCCCGATGGAGAATCAGGTCCAGAGAGAGAGGTTGCCTGCTTGTCCTTAGACCCACATGGTCCCTGAGGTACTGCCTCAGATCTGGGACCACCAGAACCTCACATCAAACCTACCTTGTCCTTTAGTCAAACAATATCCAGCTTCTGCTGGGAGAAGTGCCAGGGCCTATACTAACAAACACACATAGGGTTGAGTCTAGATTGTGGCCTGCCTGGGGTCACATGGGTGCAAAAGCAGCCTGCTGACATATCTGAGGGTCTATTCTCTTACTTGCCCTGGCCGCTATGACAGTAATTTGTTCACTACATCCAATTTTTATCAATAGAGTAGGATAAACTTCATCCTAGCCCCTCTTTTCTCTCACAATTTTTAGCTGACTGAGGTTTAGTCTTAGGTGCCCTCTAGGGGAAACGGGATCATACACTACTGCCTGCTCTCTGCCCATCAGCTTCTCCTGCCCAGACACCCAAAGGCTTCTCTTGGTATTCCTCTGTGCTGAGCTATCCTGCCACAGCCCAGAAACCAGAGGCCTCTGCTCTTCTCCATGGAACTGGGGCCTCTCATAGCTCATCTAGCCATGGTTTCCTGTGTCCTCCAGAAGATCCACCAGTGCTGTTGAGAAATAGTCCCCAAGGCTAACATGAGGGGACCAAGGAGCTTGATTTCCAGGTTCTAGGTATAAGACTGTCCTGCTGCCATAACCTATGGGGTGACCTAGGTGTCCACATGGCCTGAGGGCCTGCTGCAGTAATAACTTTGAACAGGAAGGAAATAGGACTGTCTGGTGAGAGGTCAATATTACTGCTCAGTCCTCCTGCCTGCTCTCCCCACTGGGGCCCCAACTGGGGCCTCAGGAGAGCAGTGACCACCTACATTGGCTTTCTGCCGCCGAAAATTCTGTCGGGCAGCCATGCCCCTGGCATATGCCTGGATGACCAAAACTGCCCTCTTCTTGGCCTGTACTTCCAGGCGCACCAGGTAGCCCCTGCAAAGGGCCTGAAGTTGCACTGTCTTCTGCCGAACGGCCTGGTACTGCTTCACCAGCAGGTGGCTTCGGGTGATGGCCTGCAGGCGCTCAAAACCCAAGAGGATCTGAGAAGACAAGAGAGATGTGCACTCATAGGAGGGTCTGGGCCCAGAAGGACATAGAGCACAGAGATTTCTTTTCCAAGAAGACAGAGAGCAGGAGACAGGTAATATTCCCAGGAGACCTCGCAAATTAGCTTTACAGTTATCTGCTTTTTGGCAAAGGGCTGATGCTAAAATTTTGCACACTTGTGAGCACAAGCATATTAAGTGAGTTATTACTGCCTGCTCTCTGCCCATCAGCTTCTCCTGCCCAGACACCCAAAGGCTTCTCTTGGTATTCCTCTGTGTTGAGCTGTCCTGCCACAGCCCAGAAACCAGAGGCCTCTGCTTGAAAAGCACTTAGAATAGAGACCAGCATGCAGATAAGTACCAAATAATTATTTGTTAAGTGGCATAAGTAATAATGTGGTCTATGGGGGGCCAATGATAGAAAATTTGAGTGTCCATGGGAGATGGAATTCCAGAAGCCCTGCCTTTCACACCTACAGCAAAACCTAGCCAATTTGTCAGGAGCTAGCACACCTGTGTGGAGGCCTATGGCTGGCTCCATCAAATTAATCCCTCAGGGATCTTTAAAATAAAGAATAAATAATAAATTGATGAACACCCCCTTTTATGCTGCAAACATGCTCTGGGACACAAGAGTTCCTGATACCCCAAATGAGCCTTATTGGTTTATCAAAGACCGACTGAACAGGCCTGAGTGTCACACACATCCTATGGGCTTGGAAGTCACACAGACCTGCATGCAAACTCCAGCTCTACTGCTCACTAACTCTGTGCTTTTGGGGAAATTACTTAACCTCTCTAAGATTCATTCCCATGACATATTATTAATAATAAATATAATGGTGCACTTAGAGCACCAGGCCCCAAGTAGCCTGACCATCCTTGTCAGCTGCCTTTATGCCTTTGTGAGCATGAAACATGGACAGGCCTGAGATCACTTTTGCTGACATGACCATTGCATGTCCAAAACACAGTCACATCTATAACAAAGGCAAGCAGTCGAGGCCCAATGAGGCATGGTCAAGGTTGCCCTGGTTCATTTGCTGAACAGACACTCATTAGCAGTGTCTATGGCCAAGAAAAAAATTATGAATTGTTTGAAACAGAATAATCAATCCATTAACTTATTTTGTAGCCTGGAAATTGGAAAGATAACTATTATCTAATTTCAGAGAAGAAAATCTCATTCTAACTATGGAGATGTCCAAAATGCTGCAGGAGAACACTTTGAAGCCCATGAACCGTGTGACCCGAGACTATGCTAAAAAAGAGAGTGTGTGGGGTATTGAGTCTGGTATTTTAAAATCTGTTATCACTGCCTATTAGTGATCTGATCCTTCCTGCCTGAGCTCTCATGCTCAGACAAACAAACTGTTAACTTCTGTTTTTATTGGACAGTTATCCATTTGCTCCTGCAGCCCCAGCTCCAAAGTCAGCTCTACTACCAGCTTGAAGTTCCGTTTGTTGCGGTAGCCTCTCCACCCTGCCTGAAGGGTCACAGCCGCGCGCCGCTGCCTCAGAAACTCTTTCCTAGGAGGAGAAATGCAAGTTAGAGTTGTGTAACAACCTGGTACATTTTAAAGTTTTGGGGGATAAAAACTGTTTTTGAAGGAGAGAAGGACAATAAAATGTTATGGAAAATAAATTCCTATAACATTTCTTTTCTAGAAGCCTTTATAAGCCAAAGGAGACATGTTAGGAACTTAAAATCTACTGCCAACAACTAAATTTGTGAATAAGGGTAGTCCACTTTTTAGAGTAATGAACATCCTCATTCATTCCAAAAGTCTATGAGGAGGATAAAACCCATTTCCAATATTTTATTCCTTGCCAGACTGCCCCTATTCTGGTTGCTAACCCAGGTTAGCAGCAGACCTCTGGCAGCAGGAACCAGAAGTTTCAAGACCAGTGCTCCTCTCTGGAGACAGATCAAGGTAGGAGGGCAGCCTCCCAGGCCCTGGCAGCCTAGCCAGCTCCATCCAGTGGCTCCTTCTGCAAGGAGGGGGTAGGCTGAATATGGAGAGGGTAACCTGAACTTGGCCTCTGTGGCAGTAGAGACATTCCCAGGTAAGTTTTGTACATGTGCATGTATCTTTTGTCTCACATTTAACTTAGTTTTCTTATCGCTTCTAATAATTTTTCAGAGTATTTTCTTGGGTTTAGAACAGCAGATCTCAATCATATTAAAAATCAACTCTAGTCAGTGGAAGTGGGGTGGGAGGGAAATCAGAGGAACATATTATACAAATTTCCAGTTCCAAGATAAGTAAGTACTAGTGATGTAATGTACATGATGACTATAGCCAACACTGCTACATGGTATATACACAAGTTGTTAAGAATAAATCCTGAGTCCTTATCACGAGGAAAAAAGTTATTTTTCTTTTCAAATTTATATGAGATAATGAATGTTTACTAAACTTACTGTGGTAATCACTTCATGACATATATAAGGCAGATCACCTTAAACTTATACAGTGTTCCATGTCAATTATATCTCAATAAAATTGGGAGGGGAAATCATCTGGGGAATTTCAACATTTATTGATGCCTGTGCCCTGTTCAGTCTAACTAAGTCTGAATCTGTTGATAGGTGTGGGGAATATATATCTGCATATATATCTAATATTTTTATGCCTATACATATACAGATGATTCTAATATGAGGTAAAATAAACAACTGAATTATCTAAAAATAAAGATAATTTGTCTTCTTTCCAATATACCAGTAGTTTTCAACTGGGGGTGATTTTGGTTCCCAGGTACATTTGGCTATGTCCAGAGACATTTCTGGTTGCCATGACTGGGATTAGAGGAGGATGCTACTAGCATATCCTGAGTAGAGGCCAGTGACACCACAAAACATCCTGTTAGTACAATGTCCAGGACAGTCCTCTACAACTAAAAGTTATACAATCCAAAATGTCAATAGTGTTTCAGTTGAAAAACCCTGGTTTCTATCTTTCCTTTAATTATCTTGTCTAGTTGTATTGGTCATAACAGCAATAACATCATTACTTATCAATGGAGATCACTTCTGAGAAAATGAAGTAGCATATTTTTCCCTATTCCTCCTGCTAACTATAAATAAAATCCCTGGACATTATATATAAAACAAACATAAGAAGGCTCTGAGCTCTGGCTGGTGTGGCTCAGTGGATTGAGTGCTGGCCTGTGAACCAAAGGGTCGCTGATTTGATTCTCAGTCATGGCACATGCCTGGGTTGTGGGCCAGGTACCCAGTGGGAGGTACACAAGAGACAATCACACATTGATGTTTCTCTCCCTTTCTCCCTCCCATCCCCTCTCTCTAAAAATAAATAATTTTTTTAAAGAAGGCTTTGAAAAGTGGAGAGAAGAAAGTAGACCAGCTAGGTACCTCAGGCCCAAGGAAAGACACAGAGGTAACTTCTTTGGGTTTTCTTTCTGCCCCATATATCCCACACTAAGAGCTGGAGAAGTCAGAAATCCAGAAATAGCAATGAACAGAGTACCAAAAAAAAAAGTCTCAGGAATAGAAGCTTTCTCTCTCTACCAAAAAGGATCCAGAAAGAAGCAGATCAGTAAGACAAACTTTTAGATAATAATGAATATACTCAAGCAAAGACCAAATAAACAACTGTGATACCACCCCCACTTATACCAGAAAATGCCAAGTTTGGAACCTAGGCATCCACCCTCACTGGATCCATGTCAGAGAAAGCCAAGTAGGAACCATTCTTAATGGGCAGTAATGATTCCATCCCCTATAGTATCAGTAGAAACCACTGGAGGATCCTGGAATCCCCCCATCACTTAGCAGTTATGGGGTGACCCCCTCCCTCCCTGTTGGAGTGGTATCAGAAGAGACCTAGTAGAGAATCAGGGATTTCATTATCCCTCCACAGTAGTAAGGTTACTCCTTGTTCTTTGGTATCAGTGGAGAATACATTGGGGGTAGCAATAAGGCACCTATGGCCTTCTCAGACAGAGTGGTGTCAGAGGAAGATAGCTAAAACTGTATATTTAAACAAGATACATAGTTCTTATAACATAATGCCTAAAATGTCCATGTTTTAATCTAAATTCATATCATACCAAAGACCAGGAAAATATCAACTTGAATGAAAGAAAGACAACCAACAGATGCCAACACTAAGATGATAGATCTTACCCATTATAAAAGTACTTCAACAATGCTTATTTGAAACAAATGATAAAACAGAAAGTCTGAGTAAAGAAATAGGAGAAGTAAAGTAGAACCAACTAAAATTTTAGAATGGAAAATACAATAACTGAAATAAAAGAACCTCAGCACACAATGGAAAGAGCAAAGGAAAAGATCAGTGAGCTTAAAGAAATAGCAGTAGAAATGATCCAACCTGAAAAACAGAGAGAAAATCAACAGAAAGAGAAGGAACAGAGAGCCTCAGGTACCAGGGAACTATAACAAAAGATCTAATATTTGTGTTGTTGGACTCCTGGAAGTAAACAAGAGAAGCAGTGCTGGAAAAGTACTAGAGGAAATAATGGCTTAAAAACTCATAAATTTAGCAAGAGATATTAACCTACAGATTTAAAAACCTGAGCAAACTCCAAACAGGATAAATGCAAATAAATCCACATCAAGACAGCCCATAGTAAAATTTATGAAAACTAAGAATAATGGGTCTACCAGAAGGAAAGGAGAAGGAAAAGGGAACAGAGAGCCTATTTAAACAAATAATTGATGAGAACGTCATCAAAACCTACAGAAAAAACTGGATCCTTGAATCCAAGAGGCTAACAGAAAGCTAATCATCTCAATCCATAAAGTACTTCTCCAAGATACATTATATTAAAACTGTCAATAATTAATGAGAAAGTTGAACAACAATAAAATAATTTTAAAAATAAAATAAAATAATACATTATAGTAATTAAAAAATTAATGAGAAAGAACGAATTTTCAAGGTAGCCAGGGAAAAGAAGATGGTACCCTACAAGGAAACCTCAATAGATTATCATCAGACTTTTCAGCAGCAACCCTACCAGCGAAAAGAGAGTAGAAGCAAATATTCAAATTATTGAAAGAGAGAAATCATCAGCCAAGAATAATATATCCAGCAAAGTTATCCTTTAGATATGAAGGAGAAATAAAGGCTTTTCCAGAGATACAGAAGATGAAGGAATTTACCATCACAAGACCTGCATTATAAGAAAGCTGAAAGGTGCTCTTTTACCTGAAATGAAAAGACAAAGAGATACAAGACTGTGAGTGAGATGACTAACACACAGAAGCAGAAAATGTCAACTCTTGTTCAGAATAGGGTATTAAACACTTAAATATAACAATTAAAGGAGGTTAAAACATTTTTAAAATAAAAAGACAAACTTGCACAAGTAAATAGATACAACATGCAATCATGTACATCCAGAAAAGGACTATTGTACATATAAAACTTTTTTCATAAACCTAATGGTAACCACATACACACACACAAAAAAATCTAGAACTGAGGCACACAATACAAAAAAAAGAGGAAATGGAGGAAAAAAATAATAGAATATCATCCAACTAAAATAACAGGTAGAACAAGAAAAAGGAAACAATGGAGACACAGAGTTACCTGAAAATAAAATATTAAATTACTATAGGAAATCCTCACATATCAATAATTACCTAAATGTAAATGGACTGAACTTACCAATTAAAAGGCACAGAGGAGAGAGATGGATCAAAAAATAAAACCCAACTATATGCTGCCTTCAGAGACATATCTCAGCTGCAAAGACAAACAAACTCAAAGTGAAGGATTAGAAAATGATACTCCAAGAAAATAACATCCAGAAAAAAGCAGGAATAGTCATATTTATATCAGACAAAACTGATTTCAAGATTTTAAAAAATGTAACATGAGACAATGATGAATTATAATGATAAATGGAACAATACATGAAAAAGATGTAACATTAATATATATGCACCCAATCTGGGAGCACAAAAATATATTAAGCAACTACTAACAGAACTAAAGGGAGAAACTGACAAAAATACACATAGTAGGGGACCTAAATATCCCATTGACAGCAATTATTAGATCATCCAAACAAAAATCAGTAAGAAAATGTAAGCATTAAGTGACACATTGGACTGAATGGACATAATTGATATTTACAGAGTTTTTCAACCCTGAACACCAGAATAAACATCCTTCTCTAGTGCATATGGAACATTCTCAAGAACAGACCATATACTAGGATACAAAACTAGCCTTAACATATTTAAGAAGATTGAAATTATACCAAGTGTATTCTCTGACCATAATGCTTTGAAATTGAAAATCAACTGCAAAAAGAAAGATGGAAAAAACAAAAATATATGAAAATTAAACAACATGTTACTATGCAACAACTGCATCAAAGAGGAAATAAAAAATCAAAAGATACATAGACACAAAGGAGACTGACAATACAATATATCAAAGTTTAGGGGATATAGCAAAAGTGGTAATAAGAGGGAAGTTTCTAGCATTACAGGCCTATCTCAAGAAACAAAAAAACTCAACAAC